AGTTTCTGATCTATGATTGGCTATTCTTAAAAACCAGCAACGCACTCAACACGTGATATATGATGATACAAGTATTCAGCCAATCATCGGATGAATTAGTTGGTTCCGTTTTGCGTACTGGTTCTCCTACTCTGTTTCTGTAAAATCCATCGTTTTTTTCCATACTTTTCGTAGCTCGTATTATCATGAATTTCCGTAGAAACTACGGAGAATCCGTAGCAGTTGGAGCATATGTATTTGCCTCATAGGCCTGTTTTTAAAGAATCTAGTGAAACTATGCAAGTAAGGCCAGTTTTTAATGCTTCAGCACACGCCAAAGGAGAACTTTTCTTAACCCTTTAACTGTCAAGTTATTTTGATGATTTGGGTACACAAGTTGTCAAATTTTTTTATTGCAAAAACCAAATGTTTAGTACAAAATAAAATATACTTAAGTAGTTAAAAATTGATATTTTGACGTACATGGGTAAAATTTTTAAAGTTTTGTAGCCACTGCATATTTTCTTTGAGCGGCTGTCACTCAACATGGCAGTTGCAAAGTTCGCTTCTAGTGGAGCATTATTTTCTAAAAATGAAAAAAAAAAAATTAACTATTTTCTAAAAAAACATAAATGAAAAAAAAATATAAGTGAATACCTATTAGTAGTCCAGTAATTCAGTCTTGTGTGGTACAACTGGAAACACTTTTCCAAGCACAAACCAACTCCACAATCACTACACCAGAATCGTGATTCCTTCCTTATCTTTTCCCCATTTTTATCCTTTTTCAAACAACACACTTTGCACTGTCTTGTAGGCTCACGTTTCACAGGAATAGGAGGAAAATGGGATATAAAATGTCGTTCAGTAAGACGGGCAGGGTTATCTATTGTAGGTGGTCTGCCAACATTCTTTTGTTTAGAAGCTGCATCATCATATTTATGTAAAAGCTCTTCTACAACTTGGATTCGAAATTCTAAAAATGTAATACGTTTCCCAACTACATTTTTATAGAGCAAATATGAGTTCCAGAGTACCTTGTCTAGTAAATGTAAAAATATCTTTTTATAATATTTTTTCCGACGTTTTCGGATTGTTGGATGAAAGGATATTTCCTGATCACAGCAATCTACACCACCCATAGTTAGACCGTAATTAGAAACAATCTTCGGCTTGAGTATATCGCCATTTTTTAGTTTTGAGGCTGACCATGGAAGTATCATGAATACTGCTCATCAAACACACATCCTTCATCTTCGGTTAAAGAATCTAAATCATCTATATAACGTTTCAAAGAACTGGATGCTATTTTACAACAAAAAGATCCCATGCACCTTGAACCAAATAACCTCTAACCTTTGAAATCTTCAGTAAAGTGCTGTCATCTATTGAACTGAGCGCACATTAACTTTTCCCAAAATACAGTCGGGTTTGACAAAGAGATGAAGCTGAAATAAACGTCTCCCGATATATATTCGGGTATAACAATACGATGCACTCAAAAAAAAATTACCCTGAGTAATACTCGGGCGTGACATTTTCGAACACCAGTGCTGTGCCCGAGATTATCTCGGGCATGACAGTTAAAAGGTTAAATGACTGTCTTGAGATAGATCCCAACCTATTAGAAATAATTCCAACATTGCTGAATCCTTCTCGGAAATATCCTGTTGCAGTAATTTCAGACATTGAGAAAGCCTTCTTGCAGATTGGTATAAGAGAGAAGGATAGAGATTATTTACATGTCTTTTGGAAAGGTGCAGAAAAAGAGAATACAAAAATTTATACACATTGTCGCGTGGTTTTGGGGCTTAGCTCTAGTCCATTTTTGTTAGCCGCTACTTCGAACTATCATTTAAATCGTGCCCCAGATCAGTTTGCAGCTACAGCCAATATTTCGAAGGAGTCCTTCTATGTTGATAATTGCCTGACTATTTTTAAGAATGTTGAAGAATTGAATAGATTCGCACTAGAATCGAGAATGTTATTGTCACTGGCAAAGTTTAATCTTAGAGGACAGCAGTCGAATTGTGAAACCGAAATAATTTCCAACTCTAAATTAGATAACCCGTTCGTATTTTAGGGTTAAACTGGGATTTAAAGGATGACACTCTTTCCTGTAAAATTGAGTCACTAAAGAAAGAGGAAATTGTCGCGAGTAAATGAACATTTATTTCTTACGCGCATAAGTTATTTGACCTAGTAGGCTTCTTTTCTTCCGTTACCCTGTTCCCAAAGTTGATATTGCAAGAGTGCTGGAAATTACAATTAAATTGAGATCAAAAATTGCCTGAACATTTAGAAAAGAAGTCCATGAAATGGGTAAAAGAACTGGAACTCAAAATTCCTAGGTGGCTTAATATTGACTGAGCAGTTAACGAAGATGTGAGTCTTCATATTTTCACCGATGCCAGCAAGCATGCCTATGCTACCTGTATTTTCTTAAGAGTGAAGACCGAAACAAGGTTTATCTAAGTTTTGTGCAAGCACACACTAGAGTTGCGCCTTTAAAGAGTACATCCATTCTTCATTTGGAATTATTATCCTGCTTAACTGGAGCACGCTTTGGACGTGTGGTCTTTGCAGACTTGGACATAAAAAATTTAAGAACATTCTTCTGGACTGACTCAACAACCGCTTTGTGCTGGATTCAGCGAGATGTACGATGGGGTACTTTCCTTTGGAATCGTGTTCAAGAAATTAGAACACTTTCACTAGAACCAGAATCGTCATGGTCAAGAGGCACCGATTTTCCAGACAAAGAGATCATAAATTCAGAAAGGCGTAAATCAGTATTGACAACTCTTAAAAAAGATTCTAAACCTGACAATTGGTATTACAGGTACTTTTCATCTATAAAGAAAATTGTACGCATGTTAGGTTGGATTCTTAGGTTTTACTTTAAATTATGAAGAATTACAAACGAAACCTCCAAAATTTTGTCAGTTTCGGAAATTGAAAGAGCTGAGATAACTCTTATGTTATTAATTCAAAGAGAATCATTTAAGTGTGTGAACGATGATAAAATTAAAGACCTCAGACCTATAGTTGATCGTGATGGTTTGATCACAGCTAAACCTCTCCAAGTAGGTGAAATTGTTCTACTGGAAGATAATAACAAGAAACATGCTTTCTGGAACCTGGCGCGTGTCATAAAGCTGATACCTGGTCGTGATGGACAAATAAGACTTGCTCTCATAAAAACAGAGACTTCTGAGTTTCTAAGACCAGTATAAAGACTATACAGACTTGAGCTGGATAATTCAGTCCAAAAGGACATTAATGAAAATATTCCTATGACTACTAGCAGTGGTAGAACTGTGAAACCAGTGATACGTCTGTGAAATTTTTTGTGTGTTTGAACACTTTGAAATAATTTGATTTGTTTTTTATTTTTCTAGATTTAGTATTATCTGTTAGCATGTCTAGAAATTATGGAATGCTGCATCTCCAGGTAATTTGTATTTCAATTTAATTAAAACATCTTGGTAGGCATAATTTTATACTTCAATATTATATACTGTACTATTATGCATATGTTATACTAAACAGATGTGAATTTACCTCCCAGTAAATTCAGGTGGGAGGAATATGTAGCAAATAGTTTATCCAACAGATGGCAGTATCTGCCAAGCTCCTTTGGTAATTGTCAATGCGCATGCGCAACCTGTGTGTAGGAAAAAGTATGTTATAGGAGAATGAGCTTTCATTAAGAATGTTGCTGTGTGTTTTTTCTGTGTAAATAAAAGTACATTTTTACTAGAACCAGAATAATTTGTGCACTAATCTAATGCGAAGCACTAGGTTAGTGCATGAATCTGCACTGATTCAGATTCCATTTTCAAACCGTGGATCACCACATATGCTGCAGGTGGCGGCCTATTGCTCAGTATGACCACCCAGCTTCAAGCAACCCTACAATGAGACCACGTTCGAAGTCATTTAGTTGTCTGTAAGGTCTTTGATACTGTTGTAAAGGGCAACTTTAAAACTTTTTCTTTATGGAATTACAATGACAGCAACAAAAAAAGATAAATTTTCCACCTCTGTTACTGTTTTTATACTTTACAAATTACGCACTAGAAATGCACACTGATGATTGCAATTCCTGTTCATTTGATCAATCAAGATGTTTTGGCCTACCATATTTTGTCACGATCGCAAAAGTCCTTCTTTGGTGCTTCGATTTTTTTTGCAAAAGAGTGTATTTTCTATACAAATATTCCAATTTCATATTTACACACCTGGTATATTCAGTTAAAAAAGAAAGTGGAAACCTCATTATCAGAGAGAGATTAAAAAAAATAGTAATTACAAGCACCATTACCTTAATGACAGAAATCATAAAATGAAGAATAAGCAGACCAAAGTTGTATGATCAAACTAAATTGCACAAAGATGAAGCAGCAAGCACATGTGTACCAGATTACAATAAGAAAACAAAGAGAATGATCTCGGAGAACATAAGGTTTCAGTTAATATGAAAACTACTTGTTTTAAATGCAGATGCCCAAAAATGACTCACAAACAATTTAGGATTATGATATTCAATGGTATTTGAGAAATATTGCAGATTACTAACCTCTAAATCTGGGGGGAGGTGAGTACAAAAACTGGCTTTAGCTCTAAAATCCTTTTAAGAGTGTTTCAACATTACTCTTTAGATTTCAGAATTTCTGAATTTAATTTTAAAATAAGATGCACAGAAAAAAAAAATGCTTCAATGAAAATGCATTAAATATGATAAAAAATGAAAAATGAAATGTTAAAAAATGAAATTCATAAAATCATTACATTAGACTTGCTGATCAATACGAAAATAGCTAGAATTTTCTGAAAATTTTATATGCAATCATAACGAAATATTATCGAGTAAGCTACAATAAATGGAAATAAATGTCAGTACTTAAAAAAACAAATGGTAATTTTTATCATTTTACAAAGTCTATAAAAAATGACAGTGATGTAAAAAAAAAAAAAAAAAAAAGAAGGAAAAAAGAAATAAAAACATTTTACTCAACCTCATAGTCTCATGGTCAACATCAGAATGTGTATTCCCTCTCTGGAATGCATGTTTGGCAACAATCTAGAAAAGAATATAGAACATAAATGCTGTAAGCTACAATAGCTTTTTCAAACTATTTACAAAAGTATCGAATTATTTTATATGATGTTAAAAAGGTCATAAAATGTGTTCCTAACATTAGTGTATTACATTATTATATACATACAGCTCAAATTCACAAAAGAATAAGCAATAAGACCCCTTTAAAAACTATATGCCTATCGTGCAGCAATTTCATATCTATGACCGATAGATGTATTCCTTTACCTACATGAAGCATTACACAAGTAAGTCAGAATATGTCAATATTGTAAATAATTTGCCATGTATATTTCCAAGTATTCAATACCTGTTTCTTTTACACAAAGTATTACAAGTACTTTTGAGAAAAATCTGCAAATTATTATAACTAAGAATAGTCAGTATTCACTTGTTTGCTTTTGATTAAAATTGTAGTAGAAATAATCAAAAAATGTACATGCTGGGTTGGTTGGTTGGTAACGGAGGACGGGGACGCCTGATGTCTAACAGAGGTAAACAGGCATGTGTCCCGCGCCCTCCACTAACCAGGAACAACTCCCTGGGGCCTCAAGAGGCCGCCTCGGGAGCTTTTTAGGATGTTAACAAGATCATTTACATGGCCATACAAGGGCAGATTGCATTCGTTTTACCGTTTTGACATTTGTTGTTGCAATTTGCTATGGTAATTTTGCACATTCACAATAAAATTCTAATAAAATACAAATTAAATATACAGATACAAAAATACAGTTACAAAATAATAGGATCAAAATACAGGCTCATAGGGAAAAAAAATAAATAATAAAAAAAAAAAATAAATAAATAAAAATAAAATAAAATAAAATAAATAAATAAAAATTTTTAAAAAAATTAGTATTATGCATATACAGAAGAGGAAATGTTAAATACATTTGATTGTGCATTATTTGAAAGGTGTCTGTAATAGGGACTTATGTAAATTTTAGGAGTAGTCTTATGTGTCTGAGAATGTGGAACTGCATGCTGACTTAGTTAGTGTATCATGTCTTGAGAGTTTTGGTTAATGAGGAGAGCACAAATCTTGGCCCATTCTCTTGAGCTTGTTAACAACTTTGCAAATTGTATTTACTGCCGGTTTGTGCTTTATAAGGAAGCGGTGATAAGCTTCACTATTGTTGATAGGAAGAGGGAGGTGATTTCCTGCTGTCAGATGGCATTCAAAAACATAGTGGTCTGGGGAGCCTTCCGCTCCGCAGGCGCATATGTCCGTGGTTGTTATGCCATGTCTATTGAAGTAGGTCGGGAATGGGCCGTGTCCCGTAATATAAGCCGTAAGAGGAGCTATTGCAATGTTGCGTTCAGTGCTGACTTTCGGGAGATAGCTGTATGTACGTCTTCCAGTTGTGCAGTGCGTCCAGTCTTCCTGCCAAAGATTTAGGCCTTGACCCCGTAATAGCCCTTTTGAGGTAGGAAGGAGGGGCTGGGATTGTGATTTTTTCAGCTTCTGGATCAGTGGCTGCTTGCTTGGCCAGGCTATCAGCTGCTTCATTCCCCTCATTTTCTGCATGTGCCTTGATCCATGTTAAGGAGAGATGTTTCTGCGGGTTGCGCTGTAAAAGTTGTTGTAATTTGATGATCAAGGGCGAGGTGTGGTTGTGATTATCTAGTGCTAGAAGCGTTGACATACTGTCAGTGAAAATTTTCGCCCGTTCTATATTATTATTGAAAATGTAATCTACCGCGGTTATAATTGCTTGCACCTCCGCCTGGAACACACTGTTGTTTAAGTCAAGGCGTCCTTTCCATACATGGATGATTCTTCCTTTGTCATAGTGTGCAAAGGCGCTGCCTACTCCATCTTCCTGCTTAGAGCCGTCGGTGTATATTTGCGTATCCCTTGAAACTCGCGTCATTGACAGTGGCTGTATCCGTGAGATGTTAATTCTTATTCCTGTGCCTTTACGTGCAGGATGAGTGTGAAGAGTGTTACCTGGGCTTTGAAATTGCAGAGGGCTGTATGTTATGTTGCCAAATGTTGCATCTTTGCGGAGGTATATGAGGGTGGTGTACACTGCCTCTTGTTCTGCCCGTATGTGGAGTGGAATGAGCCCTGCAAGGACTGTCGCTGAGCTGGTGGCTGTGGTGCGGTACGCTTTACAGAGATTCAGGGCGAATGGTCGTTGAAGAGATGTAAGATGTTTGATCTTTCGTCCTCCCATCGGTTGGGCCCATACGGCAGCAGCATACAAGACTATTTTTTCAGCTACCACATGGTAGAGGATCTTCTGAATATGATGATTCTGACCCCAGTTTTTACCTTGGAAGGCGCGGGCCTTTCTGGCAATAGCTGATGTTTTTGTTTTTTAGTTCTTGGATGTGAGGGATCCAGGTTAGTTTTTTTATCCCAGATTACACCTAGGTATTTTAGCGTTTGGACAATCTTTATGTTGGCTCCTTGTAGTTTGATGCAGGGGCGGCGCGTTGGATTCGTGCCTGCTTTGGGTATTATTATTGCTGATGACTTTGCGGTAGAGATTGTAAGCTTTAAGTTGCTGCAGATATTGGCGAGGAGGGAGCAGACTTCGGTGCCGTTTTTTCTCGAGCTCCGCACGAGTGCGACCTTTGACAAGAAGAGCTGCGTCGTCTGCGTAGGCGATGACACTTGTATGTCGTGGCCAGTTTGCATCCAGTACAGAGTTGAATGTTAAATTCCAGAGAATCGGTCCAGCACAAGAGCCTTGGGGACATCCTCTTTCTTGCACTTTGAAGGTAGTGTCGTTGTTGATGGCTATGAGAAGACTACGATTCTCTAGATAACTACTAAAAACGCTGAAGAGGTTGGATGGACACTGTGCGTCTCGGAGGGCCTGTCTTATCGCTGGCCACCAGAGTGTGTCAAACGCACTCTGGAGGTCAATGGATATGAAAGCTGTATGGAAACCTGTGGTGCTATTGCGTTGAATTGTTTCACGAATTTTGCAGAGGGCATGCGTAGTGGACAGACCAGTGCGAAAGCCATACTGCCTGGGGCTGAGATGATTGTTGCTATGGAGATGATATTTTTTAGTCTGTTAACAATTAATTTCTCGTAAATTTTGCCCAGGGTTGGCAAAAGGCATATCGGGCGAAAAGAAGCGCGGGTCTTGCGGGCTTTTATTCTTTTTCAGGAATAGGACAACTTGTCCTTTCTTGAATGCCTGCGGGAATATTTGGTTGTCAAACAGTTGGTTAAAGAATTTGTAGAAGAAGGAGGGACGTGCTTTGTAGGCAACTTTGATGATGCTATAGTCCAAGCCGTCTGGACCGGGGGCCTTTTTCAGGGGTAGGTGTTGGAAAATTTGCTTGACTTTCCTTGTCACTAAATGGTATATCATGTGGAGTCGGTGGGATGGTGGTATTCATGCGAACAATTTTCTGTGCTGGCGTATCTTCCTCCGCTTCCTCCGCGTTGTCTGTGGGGAAGACTTCGTTGAGGATTGTGGTGGCTGTATTTTGTACTGGATTGTCGTTGCTTGTATTTGGTGGCTGCATGAAGATTTGAGCTGGCTGATATATTTTACTTGAGGCTAGCTTGTGGAGGATTCCATACGGATTGCTGTTTTTCGGTGCAAAATTTCCTCCAACTGGTAATTTTGGCCGCTAGTATGTTGTTTTTGTAAAGAGCTCGCTCCTTTGCGGAATGTCGCCAATAGTTTGGATTTTTCTGTCTTCATTGGTGGTGGAACGTATGCGGCGTCTGATAGCTCTGCATTTTTGCCGTTGTTGTCTGAGCTCTTTCGTCCACCACTTAACTCCTTGTATTTTCTTTTTCTTCGCTGCGCGTGTGGGGAGTAGTTCACTACAGGCTGCTTTAAGGTTTTCAAGTAGTCGGTCTGTGAAAATCTCCATGCCTTCTGGGCTGTTGTGAAGCGCAAGGTTGTTTTCCTCATTACTTAAGATGCGTGTGAAGGAGCGACTGAGGGGGCGGATCTTGTTGCCTGCCTGGAAGCCTGTACCTACGTAGGACTGTGATTTTCGTGTCACAGTTTATGAGAAAGTGAAGGTATTTGTGATCGGAGCAGCTCTCATCATCGACCACAGTCCAGTCTTGCACTAGGTTTGCGATGCTGCTTGAACAGAGGGTGAGATCTGGCCAGCCCACATGATAGGTATTATCAAATGTAGGTGGGGAATCGGATGTATTTAATAGATGAATGTTATTGGCTGCCAGAAAGTCCTCAAGCTCCTGTCCCTTCGTCGTAGTATCTGCATATCCCCATATGGTGTTATGCGCATTAAAATCACCACTAAGAAGCAGAGGGGTTGAAGGGCATCGTTGTATGGTGTCAAGAATGTATGAGGTGGTGCCAGTGATACTGTCCGTTGGGGAAGAGTAAATTGAAGCTATTATGTACTGTGCGTTATTGAATGCTAGTAAGATGGCAACGAAGTCTCGTTCTTGCTTGATGACTATTGGAGACCAGGATGGGTTGGTGCATGCTATTGCGGCTCTGGGGGATTTTTCGTTAGTTTCTGATTTACGCTGATAGACTTTCCACGATATGGGAAGGCTTGCTACTTGACCCTCTCTACAATAAGGTTCCTGTATCAGGAGTAGATCTGCATCGTAGGATGTTGCATGAAGTGACTGCTTGAGATGTCGCTGCCTGCGCTCTTTGTAGATTAATCTGGACGCATTTTATGGGGCTAAATGTTACTTGGTTGTTGTGGTCTCTAGGCATAGATTGATGGATGTCTGCAGTGCTATTACTCATAGGTTGTGCTGCGTTTGATTCTTTCAACGTACCTGCTGTAGGTGGGACAGGAGATGTCATAGGCGGGGTGGGCGCAGGATTTTGTTATTACTTCTGTAGTTATAGTCTGCACAGTTGATGCAGGTGGCCATCCCGGATTTGCAGTTCTTGACGTTGTGGCTTCCGGAGCAGTAACGCACAGTAGACTTTGTTCTTGCAGTCTTGCTGCGTGTGCCCGAATTCCTGGCACTGGAAGCATCGTCTGGTGTTGAAGAATTCAGCAATTCGGTGCACTCTCCAGCCAAGATACAATCTGGGGTATTGCATGATGCGGTGGAAGGCTGATGGCTGACATTCCAGCACCCATTTGACGCCATTTGCTTTATCTTTTAGCCGGTATAAGACTTTTGTAGTGCTGCTGGTAAGGTTGTGTTCAGAGCCTAGTGCCCGTTCAATGTCCTCCTTGGTGACGTCTAGTTTTACGTCGTGGATTGCGACTCTAGGTAGTCTGACTGCTGGCAGTTTTGTTTTGGCAAATTGAAACAATTTGCCAAAACAAATTGCCTTGCGTGCTTTCTAGTGTCTTTGTGAGGTGGGTGAGATCCTCTTTGGTGGCGCAGTCAACAGCAATCCCCTCCTTCTGGATATTTCTAACTGAGTGTATTTTTACACCTAGTGATGGGAGAGGGAATTTGGCGTTCAGGTGTTCCTTTAGTCTTTTAGTACTTTCCTTGTGGCGTTCGAGTCTTCTTTTGGGTAAATAAGAAGTGTGTGTGTTTCGTAGAATGTGATGCCACTTGCGCGTAGGAACGCTCGATAACCGGAGCTGCTGCTGGGTGTATTGTTGGTTGAGGTGGAGAGTAGGAGAGTCCTGAATCAGTATTAACACCTGTGTTGGTTTTAGCTGGAGGTGGAGTGGCAGCAGGTCCTCTGGTGGCTAGAGTCCGGAAGGCCTCTAAAATGGCCAATAGTTTTCTTTCTTTGCTCTGTCGGTAACAGGTACTTGTTATTTTTTGTACTGGTGCCAATGTCTTTGGCTTTCTCGTAGAGTGTATTAATCTTTTGTTCGTAATTAAGACTTTCAGTTAATACGATTGTTGCTGCGTCGAATTTGCAAAGGCGCACTGACGCTTCTGCATCAGGCATAGTGCTGGTTTGTGCTGGAAGGAATATGGGTGATGATGAAGTTGAGTATAGCAATCAAGGGGTATTTTGGTGTATTTACCAGTGTAGAAATGCCGCTAGATAAGTTTGCATGAGTAAGTTGTATAAGTATACATAAGCACTGGTCATACACTGCTCGATCAGGATAGTGGGAATACTCTGCTCAATCTGGGAAAGTGACAAGTAATGCAAGTAATACTCTGCTCAATCAAATATGACAGAAAACACACTGCTCATTTAAAACAGTAGCAGTAGAGCTGTACACTTCTTAATTAGTAAAGATCAATTAAAAGTCTATGGCCGTATAATAAAGGTATAGAACATAATATCACACAGAATACAAGCACTGAAACTATTCTCTGTATAAAAATTAATTCAATCAAATTATTATTATTAGCTAGAAGTAAATAACACAAAATATCAGCATAAATACTTAATTAGCTAAATTATTGTAAGCCAGAATTATATAATTATACAACACATTAGGGGGAAAACTTGATTAATTAAATTTTTGTAAGCTAGAAATACATTACACAAGATACTAGCACTTACTGATATATAAACACTCACAGATATAAGTATGGTAAAATGTATAAAACAGGAAAATATACAAGATACGATCACTGAATCAAATATGACTGAATACTCAAATATGACAAATACTGAATCAAATATCTGAATTAAATATCAAATACTCTGCTCAATCAAATATGGCAGGTAACACACTGCTCAATTAATAAAGTAGCAGTAGCGCTGTACACTGCTTAATTAGTAAAGATCAATGATAAGTCTATGGGCCGCATAATAAAGGTATAGAACATGATATCACACAGAATATAAGCGCTGAAACTATTCTCTGTATACAAAACTAAATCAATTAAATTATTATTATTAGCTAGAAGTATATAACACAAAATATCAGCATAAATACTTAATTAGTTAAATTATTGTAAGCCATAGTTATATAACGCACATCAAGGGGAAAAAAAAAAAAAAACTAGCACTTACTGATATATAAACACTCACAAATATAAGTATAGTTAAATGTATAAAACAGGAAAATATACAAGATATGATCACTGAAACGAATCCTTGCAAAACTGCTAATATTTAGGAGGGTGGTATACAGGATTAAGGAATGAATACGCAGCTAATTTACCAGCTCCTTATTGAACGCACAAAATCATAAGTTTTAAACAGCTATTATTACCCTGATGCTATTTAGGTGACTGCTATTGTGTAAATGTAATGCAATCTTAATTATTGCTCGTAGGATTATCGGATATTTTGTTTACCGGATAATTAAAACAATCCTACCTTGATTGCAGGGCTTCTTCTGCGCTTCCTTTGTTCTCTATGAAGTAAACACAATAATATTTATTAAGCACTAATAGTGCTGAGTACTACACACACACGCTGTAGAACACTGTATTCGCACAACACTATCATTGTATCACTAATTAGCTCACACTACTACGTTAATTGTTGGTTTCAGCTGAGAAAACCGAAGTTTCTGATTCGTACTGCTACGTCACACTGCTATGTGAATTGCTCTTTTCAGCTGGGAAATCCTTGGTCGTTTATCTTCTATGTATTTCATCTGTTGAATTAGGTAATCCAAAAGCGAAGGCACAACACAATTAGAACAGATCACTATAACGCACTAATGAGCACTACACTGTAAGAACTGATGTCAACACACTCACCATGATACACACTACGCTGTGAGAACTGATGTAACACACTAAGATGAATAATTAAGCTTTAAAAAAAAAAAAAAAAAAAATTAAAAAAAAAAAAAGTCGTAATTTGCGAACCACTAGTCAGAATATTATCAGATAAAGAAACTTGGATCCGTCTCGATGAGCAGAGATCAAAGATGCTAGCCCTCTCTTGGTACACTGTACATGCTGGGTAAAAACATATTAATTTCTGGTACCAGAATAATTTAGTGAGCAAAAAGAAACAGAAGTTAGAATTTTGAAATGTACAAATTAAATGGCAAAAAGAAATGCTACAACATACATCAATAAATAAAATTTATTTAAAATAACAGAAATACAAAGAATTCATTTGAGCTCAGAATATAAGTTTAAACCATTGCATAAGGATAACTTAACTAAAAAATTCTTTTTTCATATACAACTGTTCTGCTTCTAAATAGTGCAATCATGATGCAAAAAATGCCAAAAACCTCTCGTTTGCTATTTCTATTCTATAATATACATTAAAATGTTGAATCAACAAATAAATCTCTAACATTAATTAATGCACTCTGCATTTAAAGGAAACTTTTCATGGAGTAGCTTAAAATGAATATCAAATTCCTATGTTTGTTTTTGAATGATTTGATAGCTTATGAGTGAATCATATAAGCCATCACACACTTAAAATTCAGCTAATTAAAATTTTAAGAGTAAAATTAAATTTTTACCTTTTCAAATAACTCAAATTTAATTAATACAAATTAAAATTTTCTAAGAAATCCCTGTCACATAACATAAATAAAAAAGACAAATATATAAAATAAAAATCTAATTTCATACAAAATTTTTTTTTTAGATTAAAATACTATGAAAAAGGTAATTATTAGAAAACTGAAGTTATTTCCTAATTTGAAATATTAAAGCACATGTATGCATTATATCATTCACATAAAAATATTCTCATGTAAATATGCACACTCTAAAATAACCTCATGTAAATATAATCATATTTTAATAACTATCAAATGAGATAGCAGGAATAAACAGAATAAAACTTAACAACAGGCTGAAATTTACAGAAAACAGTACAACGAATTATAAATTATGTTGCTTTTTTATGAAAATGTGTATAATAATGCAGTTACATCTATATGTCTTACATTATACATTTCTATCTTGAAGACATTTTTTGCAGGATAGGAATTATGAGGAGGGCTAAGAAGATCGTAACAACTGAAGAGGAATAAAATAAGTTCAAAATTTAAAAATATTACCTCAGGTAAATGACTTTTAACCCACTTCACAGATGGATGAACAGACGACCAAAGTATCAAACCTTTACTTAATGTCTGTAACATAAAATTCGGACAGTTTTAGAAATAACATATTTAAATTTATTTTCACAACACTTGGTTTTTCAATTTCAAAGTGGATTACACATACTTTTGTGCATATTTTGCTTGCAGTATTTTTCCATTTGTAGATTTTTCATTATACTCTTGATTCTTATATTTTTCCCAAGGTATGTCTTAAAAATTTGCATATTTCCTCTAATATAAGTATATTTACCATTTCTATAATTGATCTCTTTTTAAATTGAATATACAAAATAAAACTTATAATATTTGTTTTAAACATTTTTAATAATATATATATATATTTACTAAAGTAATATTGATTATATTATCTCCTGATATAAAGTTAGTAGAATGTATCTGTATGAAGTAACCCAGAAGTATGAAATTCGATTTTAATGAATTTCAATTAATTACTTAATTCAATATACAGTACAAAGTCCGTAATCCGGATGTCCATTATCCGGAATGATTTATATAATCTGGACCTCAAAGCCACAAACTTTTTTTTTGTATGCTTTACGCATGCGCATGCGTGTTGGGAGGATGTGTCTCCAGATACGTTAAAAAATACTTGGCATAATTTATGGCCAGATACCACATTTCATGGTGAGGACGGTGAAGATGATAGCTACGAATTTGAAGGTTTTCGAACATTGCAAACTAAAGTTGAAATTTTCCAGTTATTGGATTTTGTAAAGAAATGTGGAGAAGTGGTAATAAATGAAGATGATATAACAGAAGTTTTTCATTGCGATGACAATGCCCCAACCATCAATCAATTAATGGACGGCGAAATCTGTAGTATGGTTCTAGATCCAGAAAATACCCCTTTCGATAGTGAAGAAAGTGACAGAGAGGTTATTGAAAACGGAAAAATTTTGATTGACAAGTTAGTCGGTATTCTCGACACAGCAATTACAAGACAAGAACAGTGGAACTTTGTAACTAAACAAGAAATTATGTCTATTTATAGAATTAAAGAGAAAGTTTTTGCACAAAAAATGAAGCGATTAAACAATTTACATTGAAAGAAATGTTTAATAAAATAAACATATAAATATTAAGTTTTTTTTTGTAAATTTTTATACCCTTTAGATAATAATTTCATAAATTAATGTTTCATATTTTTAATTGTATAATTTCCACATGCCATCTTACCAGATTTAAATTAGTGATCTATAATCCGGAAAAACTCCTAATCCGGAATCGCCGAAGTCCCGACGAGTCCGGATTATGGACTTTGTACTGTATATTATAGTAAAATACAAGAGATTTCAGATTACTGAATGGCTTTATTTAAATATTGATCCCTTTTTTAATTCTTGTATCAATTTATAATTACTATTCAGTTAAAAAAGAAACATTAGTTATCAAAATTAAGTACCTAATTTTATCAAATTAGAAATGCAAAATGGCAAATTTTAGTAGTAAAATTAAATTTGTTTCAAGGTCAGGAGAAATTTGATCAGAACAAGTAGCTAAATTCCATCAAGAATCACAAACCTTTTAAACACTGTACAAGTTTCAAAAAATAATTTTTCTTACTGTTGATGTGAAATATTCTATATCTCTTTTAGCTATTCTGACAACAAGAAATGCCACACATATCTCTTTTAGCTATTCTGACTAATTATACTCTAATATAATGCTCAATTTTTGCATATAGAGCATATTTATATTTATCTGAAATTAGTGTAATTATTTTCAACTACTGATCTTAGAATCCTGTTCATTCAAAATTATAACATATTTCCGAGTAACAGTAATATGAAAGTCTGCTTTACTTTTTCGTGTTGAAATTCAATGCTAATTTGATTAAAAATATTTTAAATTGATACTACAATAAAATAAATACATTCTTTTTCTAGTAACCCTATATAAGTATAGTAATAAAGCAAGTAAGAGGATTTTATATTCCTATGACAAGATACTAGTTACAAATCATATGTATACATGAATAAAACTTACTCTCAGCAATAAGAAGTCTGGACGAACCATGTCAAGTAGAAATTGTGTATCAGGGCCTGTCATCCATTCTGCTATAGCACTTAAAGTTTAACAGAAATTAAAATTACATATTTTATCATATGCATTCATATTTTAAAAAATGTAAATGCATTTTACAAAAGTTTTAAATGTACTGACATGATTTTATAATGTTTGGATCACGACATATTAAACTATACTACATATTACTAAAAATAATTTTAAAATACTACTTTAAATAAAGAAATACAATATCCAATTTAATGTAAATACTATTAAATTAAACTATACTCACTGATTATCTGTATTAAAAAACATCATCCCTAATGCTAATGTTGCTCCAGGGCTAGTGACATCAACATTCACATTATCACCTTCACGAATTTGATAACTTGGAGATTTGTGCTTTTCTTTATGAATTCCAGTCTGAAAATAATGAGCAGAATCTATGTAAGTTTTAGCCTTTTCATTAAAACAAATTAGCTATTAAATACTAAAATATACAATACTTCAAAAAAATCCTTAATTAAGAATTCAAAATTTTATTATTTTTAAAATATAGTTTTGCTGAAATAAATATTAAAAATTTGGCTTTTCAAACATTTTTCAGTTTCTTAAAATACTTCTATATAGTAATTAAATCTTTTCTAAATACATACGGAAAAATTTACTGTAATCTTGCAGAAAATTCATTTAAAGAAAGCAAACAAAAAATTTTTTTTATCCTAATTTTTTTAGTCAATTAAATATGAATTCTGCCAACAAATTTTATAATACCTGCACAATTTAAAGTCATTTGAATAAAAAAAGACAATTTTCTGCAGCACTTTATTTAGCTAACAGGTTATCTACACTTTATGTGATTCAAGAGTACTTCAAAGAAACCTTTGTTTTTTGGATACTGCAAGTAAAGACTAAATAAATAAACAAATAAAAAAGATAAAGATTTTTTCTAGAAATGTCTAGTTTCGACACATATAACATAACAACAAATTGGAATCCTCAAAAAAAAAAAAAAAAAAAAAAAAAAAAAAAAAAAAAAAACTTTTGAGGTTAGAATGAATGAAAAAATGAGAAGGAATAATGGCAATGAACTTAACACCCACTGCAATAAAGAAAATGAATGAAGAAAATGTTATCATAATAACATAATGTACTTAAAAAAATTTATGTTCAACTTTAATAATATCATAAAAAATGAAGAACTAATGATTAGAATAAAATTTAAACATGCATAAACTTTACATGAACAGGAAAATCTGTCCTATTGGCTAAAAATAAATTTAAAAAAACAGTATTCCATATTTGAGAAATTAAATACATACAAAAAGCAACTAATTCTGTAATTTTTTCCCTTCCCTGTATTTCAAAAAATAACATGCAACTATTAAATTTAAAGTACTTATTATAATTTTTAAAAATCCATGTTTTTTTTAATTCATTTCTTATTCTTTGAAGTTTGTAATAATGATTGTCTGCACACTCTTCTTCTTGAACCTTTTCTCTTCATTATTTTATAGTAATGAATTTCATTTTACATTATGGCAAGTACAATTGCATTGCACACATTAAATCTACAGCAATTATAGTAATTTTTATCAACAGCAATTTTCAAAATATAAGTCTAAAGTTGAGATTACTGGGTGAGATGCAGATAAAAATAAATTTGGGTTTTCTACATCTCTTAAAGATGCTGAGATCTACTTTATCAAATTTATTACTATGCACTGCACACAGAATTTTAAATATGGCATGTATGGATATTTTTAACACATACAATACTGTCAGAGGTAACTATGGCATGACCTTTGAAGAAATAGGCAGAGTTATGCAATTTATAACAATCAAGAGTATAGACGCAAGCACTAGCTTCTGTAACAGAAAAAAGGTCACAAGTCTCTCTTGCAATAATGATCTTAAACTTACAATTTATACCTGAAACTTAATCAACAGAAACCATACAAAAAGCTACGATTTTGTATTTACAACATTTCTTCCAACCACAGTTTTGAAATTGTTTTAAAATTTTTTGTATCTTATTCTAAGAAATTTTGGAAGAAGTACACGCCTAGGGTAATATTTAAGAAATGCAGAATACAGCCATCTATTCTTCTTTACAGCTTAATATTATACCTAACTGGTTCACTAAAATATTTTTCATATTTTTTCAAATATATATTTAAAGACTTACCACAGAAATTTAGAAAAAAATTACATACCAAAGGTCTTTTATGCCCTCCAACCATATAATGGTATAACTGATCTGCCATAGGTAAATCAGCAACACCAGACATTTCTTTACCCTTCTGTAAAAGAAAGAGGTTAAGACATTAGCATAAAATTCATTTAAAATTTATATGTTAATTAAAGACAGTATTTTTTTCTTCTTTTTTAACTACCCTCTCAGATAATGACCATGTACAAGTGTAACAGAATTAATGGCCCCAACTATAAATGGTGATAAAAGTAACAATTTTCATAATGCAATGTATAGTGAAATGAAAGCAGATACAAAAAAAGTATGAAGAACATACGAAATGGGCATTTTAATTATGGATACTTACAGGAAATAATGTTGATATTTACAACAATTGTCCAAATTAAAAGCTTCCACCAGTAATACATGCATCACAGCAATTATGAAGCAACTGGTATGCACATTGGAAGACAGGCGGCATATTACGTACATCTGTAACAACATATTCTGGTAATAATGTTCTCAGGAGAGTTAATCTCATAAAACTAGAACCACTGTTTTGAGATACATATATTGCAGTTGTCGTTTATTTGAACAGTTCTTATAAATAATGGTTAAAATTATTTTCTTTTCCATGTTTTCATTTTTCATTCACCATATTTCAACATTTACATTTCAACAAAATAGTTATTTATGCCCTGCTCTATCAGCTTTTAAAACTGCTACCATCAATCCAGCTCTCAGTTTTTCTCAACTGTTTAATTCAGAGTGAATTCAGAGTACTCAGAGATCTACACTGGAGCTTCATCTTTTTATATGTACTTTGCACTGTGTTATGCTTAACAATTTTAGCAGTTTGAAATATAACTACTGATTGTGCTCTGTGATACTGAGAAGAGCTGTACGAGTATTTTTGTGGAAAGCTCCAGAACTGTAAAGTGTATATTTTTGTAAAATAAATTTGATCAAACTACAGTTGATTCTGTGTGCATTCAATCTATTATGAACCTGTACACACACAACAATATATGTAAGATTTTCAATTATGGTAAAAATTCAGTTATAATGATATGTGAGGACAGGGAGCAAAAACTAATGGTAATAATAAATTCAAATGCTCATTTGGCATAAAATAAAATATACAGTGAATAGGAAAAGAGATCACAATAACATAATCTACTTAAAAAAATTATGTGCATCTTTATTAATATCATTAAAAATGAAGAACTAAAGATTATAATAAAATTTAAACATTCATTAATTTTACATAAACAGGGGAGAATCTGTCACATTGAATAAAAAATAAATTAAAAAAGCAGTAAAAATGTCTGCAACTTTATCTTGCAAAAAATGCTTACCCCCAATGTAATGAGCCCCAAAGCTAATCCAGCAGCTAAAGAATAACTTTCTCTATCAATGCAATGTTCCATTTCAGGACCAGGTGGTCTTCCTATTTCTCCTAAAAGTACTTCAGCCATGTGATGATGCCCAGAACCCTGATATAACAAACCAAGGCCCATTACAGCAGCTACCTGCACAGCAGGAGCTACATCTAGTTCTGTAGAAGTCGGTGGCAAAAGTGCTTCAATATGAATGCTTAGCATCTTAGTAGCACTCAAGTCCATAGTACCCCGTCTGCAATAAACATTTGTGCATAATATTTCATAGTTACTCCTCAGTAATTACAAAAAATAAAAATAAATAATAATAATAATAATAAAAGAATCATACCTACAAGCACAGGATGAAATTATTTTGACCCTCAAAAATACAAGTTAATAAAAATTGCATATTGTTAATTAATCATTCCCCTAACAAATGCAATAATTTCTTTTTTTTTAATTAAGAAAAGCAATCACTTCCTTAATTTAAATTTTTCCCATATAGAATTTAAATATATACTGTTTATTAAATAAAACATATAATTTATAAATTGCAATCTTTTCAGCATGAAAGCAAAATTAAGCAAATTAACAGCTAAAAATGTTAAGTTTGATCATTTTAATTTCAAACAGCAGTATACATTAGAATTTCTGAATTTTTTTATTTTAATGAATTTTGAAGTTATGTCATGGATAAACTTATTCTTTTTACAAATAAAGCAAGTTTCAGTTTTGGGCTTTGAATCGCTTACATTTCAATGAAACTGGACCTTATAAAATCAATTAAATATTCCTATTTTCTAGTATAAATATTTATTCAGTCAGGGAAGGGGGCGGCAAAAAAATGAAAATCTAAAAAGATAAGAAATAATTTTTTCTATAAGGTAGAAACTATTCACAACTGCAACAAAGACACTAATAATAAGATGCCTTTTATATGAAACACATATTTTTGTAATTTTTATAATACAAGCATTCATTTTAATCAAATTTCAATATACCAGCAGTTTTTACAATTTAAAATATAACAATATTTTGTGCTACTTTGATATTAAGTGCTGCTGCACATTTATTGCACACAATACAAGTAACTGACAACTGCATATTTGCAACTGAAATTTAGTAAAATGCTATAAGAACATATTTGTTTTCATCAGGGAAAAGTATCACACATTTGAATAATATATTATCATTTTTAACCAATTTCAATCATTGCATTACACACAATTATCTCACATTTGACTTCAAAGTTACTTTTAAACTGCAGAATTCTACTCACTTTGCTGCTGACACACCTAAAAGTATTCCAACACTTGTAAGGTCATGACCCTGAAATTTAAATATAATGGTTATTAATTAATTCATTAATTGTTAATTAAAAATTCTTTAGCCTAAATAATTGTAAAATTTATTAATTTAAATAATAAAATTAATGATTTTTAATTTTATTTCACGACAATGATATTTCTGTAAATTACTGGTTATAACGAAGTACCAATCTTGAAAGGCCATCTCCAGAAAAGACTTTCTAAAGGTGGTTGGAGTAAAGCAAGTGACAGTTATTTGCTTCTTTTGAAAGGTAAATGGACTATTTTGAGTGAGAATAACTATACTAATAGTGGAATTAATATGAAAGTTAGAAAAAAAGTCACAGGTGTGTAGGGCCTTTACTCACTGAGACAAATTAAGTATATTAAAATACATGAAAAGAATTTGCTTTATTAGTTGTTATATATAAAATTAAAAATTTTTTGAAGAACCTCAAAAGAATCAAAGATATTTTTATTTATAATATCAGGTTACTTAATCTGGGATATTTTGTGAAATGCATTACCAATGCTGAAACATATTATTAATTTTAGATAAGATACAGAATATCTGTAAATTTATTAAAGCATATATACAAGCAGCATAAATTTAAAAAAATGTCAATAAGAAAAGAATCTTGAATATTAATTAAAATGTATATTAGTGTAACATTTGATGGACTAAGATTGAATAACAATGTCTCAAAAAAGAATGCACATTCATTGACTATGAATATACTATTATATGCAATGCTATTAAGTAACAACTTTTAAATTGGCTATATAAATATGTGAAAGTCTATTCATCTTCAAATACAGTAATAATTTATATGATCTTCATAATAAAAAAATACTAAGAATTTATAATTCAAAGCATACTAAAAATAAGACGCACAAAAATTGATGTTTTATTTTTACATCAGTTACACAAAATAAAAATGAAGAACATTTATCATACAGTAATAAAGAAATAAGAATATCAGATTCCAATTAAAAATATTTTTAAATAATCATATTTAACAAATTAAATACACATGAAATATGCTAAAAATAAACATTCTAATATATATATCAATCTAACACAAAGATCTTTTTTAATATGCATATAATATAGCAGAGAAGAAGTTACTAGTATACTTACTTTGCACAGATAATCATGTATACTCAATGTCGTAAGCCTAGACAGATGTCCATTTAATCCTAATGCCATAAGGAAACCAGCATGTTCAGTTGGAGAATCAACATTAGTAGGTCGAGGCTTATTGTACACCATCCAGGTTGAATCAATCTAGAGTTAAAAACAGGCAACTAATATCAAAATATTGAATTGAGGGCCAGAATTAATTTTTAAAAAATTCTGCTAAATAAATTCTGCAAATAAATTCACTTGTAGATTTATAATCTTCATAGGGAAAAATCTATTCATATTATTTAGCAGAATCCCCCCCCCCTCTGTTTAAATGAGCCATCTTATTTAATATTAAAGAAAGAGATAACAATCAAATAATTTTCATCAAATTCAGTTTATGAAATTTTTATTTCACATCAAATTTATTTTTTGAAAAGAAGAAAAACATCTATGAGAAAATAGTTCCTTTAAGGTGAACCTACGGAATAAATATTTTAAAACACATCTTTGATTCAACAGATTATGTATGGACCATACATTTATTTAATATTTTCAAAATTATCGCTAGCATTCATACCCTGCTTAAACATGTACATATATACTAATGAGGGGAATCCAAAAATTCAAAAAATATAGATAGCAGCACAATGCACACAAAAAACATGTTTTTTTTTTTTTTTTTTTTTTTTTTTTTTTTTTTTTTTTTGTGTGTGTGTGTGTGTGTGTGTGTGACAGATTTTTATTTTTTGAACACTATCTGGTGGTACTTAATTTGTATTTGAAGTCTGTACAGTAACACAGCAGAAATTCCAATGCAGCTAGGATTAGAATATATTAATTAAATGGTTGTCATTCATGAGAATGGCAGTACCATGCACAGCACTCTGCATAGCATCAAAGAGGATTCAACTATAATTCTTGGCACCATGATGACAAATAACTTCTTTCAGGTACTTAAATAAGACCTGCGCCAAAAAGATACATCCTGCATGAATGTCTTGCCTTTCTTGCTAGAAGGGAATGATGCTGTCTCCTACAAGCAAAGCTTAATGCTTTTCTGTGACAGAAGCACTTCAAAATGTACCACTACAGACTTTCTCAAAGAAAAGGGTATATAATGATCAACACAGTGAACTCACAACATCATCTTTAGTTGTGTAAACAGGCTTCCATTACAGTGTTCTTGACACACCACAAAACATTTAACCCCTTCGCGCCAACTGTCACGTCTACTTGCCAGCAACGAACACACTCACTTCCCGGCCAACACGCAGCCATGCCAGAGCATTTTCCCATTCAGCCCCAACTGTGACATATTTGTGAAAGTGTCCTGGAACGTTTTAAAAACTATAATTTCTGCCACAAGATGGCACTGTATGTCCACATGGTTTTAGATACATGTACATTAGACCTTCTACTTGAAATGAGAGAAGCATAACTCACATACACGTGTTTTTGATTATATAAACAAAAGGGGAAATAAATCTTTCCGAATGGCATGCTTTATGACGTCTCTTTAAATTCGCACGTGGTAGTTGTTTATTGTAAGTAGAGAAGTTTTATTTTCACTAAAGCGTTGGGTATTTCGGTTTGCAGTTCAGTATTTAGAAAATAATTAGATCTTGTTAGACGTGAATTCTTTCTGTGTTTATTGTTGCAATGTCGAAGCGTCGAAAATGTATAACAGAGCATGAAATAGCAGAAATTATGCAAAATATTTCAGATATTGATTCTGAAACAGATTCTGATAGTAGTAATAGTGATACTATGTAATGTAGTATCACTAGGATACTACTTTACATAGTATCACTATCCCATTTTCCAAAACTTTGTTCAGAAGAGACATAAGAAAATGAGACGACGATGCTTCGTATGTTCTCTTTCCCGGAAAAATCCTCCAAACGGCAAATAAGTTATTACGAGTGCAAGGAATGTAACGTAGGACTGTGTGTAGATCCCTGTTTTCAAATTTTTCATACGAAAAGATAATTTTAAGTAATATATTTAGTTTTCAGATGTATAATGTTAAAAGTCATAAAATGGTGAGTACTGAAAATAAAATGTGTAAAATATGTATTTAAACTAAAGTAATTAAAGTATATACAAAAATATCTATAAAGCATAAGCCGTTTAAATACTCTATAGAGCATTATTAAACAATGCGTTGATACTTCGGAAATTTCATGGATTTAGGCTTAATAGCAAAAAAGCCCCCGGCCCTGGACAGACGCTCGCGTAAGACACTGCCGGCCTCCACGATAAGCGCGCGTTTGCGCTACTCGGCGCGAAGGGGTTAATAGCCTGTCCAAATTATTTTCCGTCTGTTAAAAAGCTCAAATAGATATCCATGATCACTCTAAAAACCAACTGGTTTAATTCCTGCACATGATGGATTTTGTAAAGGGATGTGGATAAAATCTTTCATTATTAAAAATATCCAATACTTACAAATTAGCATAACTACCTTGAACAGTTAGATAATTTTTTGCAAAAGGAAAAAAAATAGCAACTTATAATTGCAAAAGATACTTTATTACAGGTTGCAGATATCATGTAGGTTAGAACATTTTTCTAATACAGACATTCAACCGGCAGATATATAGCTGACTGCACATAACCAACAACACTTCCAGGACAGTAGCACATTTAGTTGACAATGCATACATTTAGATAAGAACATGTGACAGCCTTTTTAGAGAAATTTGTCAATATTTGTCCACTAAAAAGGCCATTTGCAGGATATACAATAAGAAGGTTTGTGGAATTTCTTTATTTCTTAATTTTTAACACATAGTTCATATTCTCTGATGAGAAATTTCAACAATAAAAAATATTTGATTTTATCCTATCATGTCAAACCATATTGATATAATATGCTAAAATTCAACAAGATTTAAAATCAAATATGGGATCAAAAAACAAATTTTACGCATACGTGAGAAAATGACTTAAAAGTTAAATCTAAGAAAAATCTTGAAAAATTTTGTAATTGACAGGAAGCTCAAATAGTTGTCATATAAATATGAACAAATTTCATTGAAACAATGCTGTGTGTTTTTGTCTAAATATATCTGTTGTCAATCAAACTGTCAGCCAAGCATGTCTTGGTTAAACATTTAGGCTAAATATCTTGTTCACAAAATGTCCATGCTGAATAATAACTAAATGTCCTAGCGGTTGGTTAGATGCAGGACTTAAAAGAGAAGGGCTAGCTCATAGAGCTTTTCCCCCTGAAACAAGCAGTGGGGAGTGATGATATAGCAATGATGACACTGAGCGCAGAGATGCAATTGACAACATAAAAATTAGCTATTTAAATTTGAAGAACTAGCGTTTAAAATGAGCTGTGTGTGAAAGATAGCTATAATTTAGAAGGGACAATGTTACTGCAGTATGCATTTTACACTGAACATTAAAAAATTTAATAGCTCAATTTAAAAATAACAGATAAAATGCGCTACTCTTAGCATAAATAGTTCCTTTTTTTTTTTTTTTAATTTGCAGGGATTTTTTTTCTTTAAATGCCTGTTCATTTCTAATCATTTCTTTACCTGCATCTTAACTAAAAGAATTCTACTACTGCATAAGATAACTATAATAACAGCTATTTAAAATTAATCAAAAAACAACCTTAAATTGGCATAGTTTTAAACATGTACGGTTATATACGGCAAAATTTCTGCTAATTTAAATTTGAGTTTCAGCCTAATTGTAACTTTTACATTGGCATATTTTTCGCCCGATTCAATATAATAACATGTATTTTTTTAAATAATTTTGTAACTTAGGCTTATATCAATATTACATTTAAATAAATACATGTAAGATTGTTATCTTTATTTAGACAAACCAACTTTACTCACAGTACCTAAAAAAATTATTTAATTTTTCAAAAGTGGGGATTAAGGAGGCAGGTCTTCTAATGCCAATTACTTTAATGTTATTATATTTTATCTAGAATGTTAAGCTAGCACAAAATCGAATCAATAATAATACAGGATACAATAAAACTAACTTTAACAATAACTTTAAAAATTAGTTCTCATTTGAAATATGCTTTACGCTATTAACTTCTAAAATGTCATCTAGAAATATTTCAAATCAAAATATGTTTATATATGCTTACTTGTACAGTCACAATGCAACTACAAGTTGTTGAAATATTATTTATTGGCTGCCACATTCGAAGCAATCCACTTTTTTTCCTTTTGGGTTGCTTTTCTTTGGGAAAAAACATATGCATTTCTATTTAAGAAACATATTCTAATAAAAGTTCACATTCTGTAAAATAAAAGTATTGCTTCTCTGTTAACTTCAGGATAATGTTTCTCCAGTTCATTAATTAAAGAGCCAATTACGTTCTTCCCTTTATAGTAAGTTGTACCATGAACTGCACAACTCGTAAACTTTATTTATCCATGAATGGGAAGGTGTAGTCAAACCTCCTAAGGACAATAATTTAATCCATTCTGAATTAAAATATTGGTTCATCAGCACTATTTTTAGATACTGTTCCCAATGATGGGTTTTTGTCTCGCACACGGTAGGCAATATAACCTGCAACATATGTTAATGCTTCTTTTTCGGCGGTCAAAAATTGTCTGGCGGAATTCAATTCTAATTCCCAAGCCATAGGAGAAGTGAACTAGCCTATGAAATCCAAATCATCAATAGTATTTAATGGAAAAGCATCTTCCTGCTCAGTTTTCAAAGCCCTTTTCAAGTATTTCGGATGTTAAATATGAATCAATATTTCTGCTTTCGTTAGTCATGCACATTTTTGATGATAAATTTGGAAGCTTATAAGCGAGTATTAATTGCTTTAAGTGGTGTATAACTTCGCTACGTGATGGATGGTCATTAAACCTACCAAGCCCTCAAATCTGATTAAAGAGACTTTCAAGTGCATCCTAAGTTAATCTAGAGGTCAAAATATATTTAGCATCATACAATGATTTCAAATCCTGGTGTAGGCCAAAAAGAGAATGTATTGAAATCATTATTCCTTTTTGGGAAGGCAGCATGTCGGATTTTCCCTAAACTCTTAATCCACCAATGACTTTCTTCATTAATTCCAAAACTTGATGTTCATTTAATCCAAATGTTGCTTTAAGTATTTCATCTGAAGGAGGGTATGGCTTGGTACTATTCATAACATCAAAAAATTTGTCGATTAACTCAAAGAAGTCAGATGCTTTTTGATTTCCTGTGAGGTGAAGTATACCTTTTGCAGTAGTTCTTTAAAATAATGTTTTCGCTGGAACGACTTTTTGTCTCTCGTTTCCCTTGACCATTAAATAATTTGGTTTTAGTTTGTGACACAATTTAATTTCTCCTGAATCTCTATTTAAAACTTCTTTAATAATATTAACATTTAAAACAGTTCCATCTTCTAAAACATATCCTTTATCTAAAAAGTGGTTTCTCAGTAATTTGAGGCAGTGCGCAAATCTGCAAAAACCTATATTATCTGCAAAATAATATGGGTATAATTTTGCAGATATCTTTGTAGATAATAATATGGGTTAACAATATGGGTATAATTTGCAGATAATAATAATTTGCAAATCTTTGCAGATTTCCAAATCTTAATTATCTGAAAAAACCCATATTTTTTCGTTTGCAATACTGGATTTGGAAACTGACAACTATTTATCGAAATCTGTAACTCTTTCCACAAAGTACTAGATCCTCCTAAATCAGACAGTATTGCTTTCATTTCTACTCCAGATGACTGAATACGTCTTATGAGCGAAAAAAGAAGTTCTTTCTTCATTGGAGTGTAAAAATAAAAAAAATACTGGTTGTTTTCACTGCAAAATGAGACCTCTGATTTAAACAAACTGCACTTTTTGAAAAGGACTGAGAATTTAGTCCAGTTTAGAGTCATAGCAGAGTTTAGAATCTATATGCATTTCGTCGAAACTGAGAACGCACATTTTTTCTACAGAATTCAAATATTCATATCTTTCCTTCATTACAGCAATAACATCACTCTGAATTCCTGGACTACATGAAAATTTAGCGCACCATCTCTTTAATGTGCTAGTGTTAGGTAAAGGAATTTCCATTTTTCCTTTCCAAAAATCGTAGCTTTTAGATGACAGAGCTCTTATGACAATGCAACGTGAAATATCTTCACTAGTCCACCTGATTTTCCCCTTTTTTCTAGCAATGAATTAATCTGCGTCTTTGTAAAAATATGCTTTAAACGTTTTTCCAAATTCTCTTATCTGTGCTGTTTTTTCCTAAATTTCGCTGTTTGGGATTTTAATTTCTGAATTTCCGATATAAATTTCTTTCTAGATGCCGTCCACCTTCTTTTACGCTGAGCAAACAATCTAAAATTTTCCTTTTCTCTATTTTTCAATATTTTATTACAATTTTCTACGGATGTTATTTTGTTCTTCAAATTATTAATACATTCTTGTTTATCTTTATACTTAGGGCATTCAGGGATATTGTCACTTGTGAGTTTTATTTCAAAATCATTCACATTTGATTTATTATTGTCAGTTTCAATTTCGTTCTTGGCCTCGAAATAAATTTTCTTTGAGCTTGATTCGTGTAGTCTTTCAAAAGCACTCTGCATTAGTTTTCTTTTCAAATGTCTCCTATTTCTTGGTGTTATTTTGTTTACTGTACACGATAAATTTACTCTCAGCACAGTATTGCATTTCAACAGTTTATTTTGTGGCAATCCAAGCAAGCGATTTCACATGCCATCTTCATAATCACAGAACAGACTCATGTCATCTTCATAATCACTGCACAGAAAATGTTTGCTGCAAAATCTTGCATTTTTCACATTAATAGAATCCTGTCTTCAACATTTATGTATCCATTCTTTCGTTAAAAGCAAATTGTCCTTTGGGAAAGCATGAAATACAATATATCTTCCTTTTATATTTCTCTAAGTGTTATGGCACGTTGCTACAGCACAAGAAGCCATATTACATAAAGGATAGTTTAAAGGAATTTAAAAGGAAAAGACTAAAACCATACATATATATATATATAAATTATTTTTAATATTTGCATTATTAGAAAACTATGTATGATTAAAATTAATTTGGGATATGCGACCTCCAGAAAATCGTCTCGCAACTGAATGAAACTATAGTTTTAAATGCGCAAAATCAGAGCAGATGCAACACAGACAAGTCAGATTACTTCCAGTTAACCCCCCCCCATAGGGCTCACGTCGGCGAGGAGTCAGACAAAGGAATGACCTAGCTCTTCTTTTTCTCCCTGGGCTAGATGTCTGTATCCACTGAACGTTCATATTAGCTAAATGTCTTGTTGGCTAAGTATCAAGCACCCATTTATTACAGATGTGCATACTATTTTGTATATATATTTTACATCTAAATTAAATATTCATCCCAAAAACCAATCAGTCAACTTATTTAATGAGGATTTTTATTTCGTTTTTGCTGGAAATCCCATTGCAGTCACTTTAAAATAGATTCGAAGCATTGTTTTATTCAGCAATTTTGTGACAAAATACATAACCCTGCAGAAATTGTACCACAGTTCTTTCACAGCAAGCAAACACATAAACGCATATTTTAAAATTGAGTTTAACACAAAAAAATCATGATTTATCTATAAAAACTGCTGAAACTTGGAAACACACACTAAAAAAGTGTGCTGCTGTTAAAATTAAAGTGTTATGCATATGACTGCCATAGTTTGGTGCATTTTACAAATCTGGTAACTTCTACTCAGATGGTTGCACTAATGTTACTAATGTTGCACTTGTTACTAATATGCAAGTATGTATATTTTTATGTGAAACCTGCATCATGGTGCTGTCTGTGCTTTACAAATTACTGAATTTTTACGTTTCCAGCTACTTTTGTATCAACTAGTACATATGTCATAATAGCAAGCTTTTTGTTGATTTAGTTCTGAACTATGAGTTATTTAAATTTTGTAACATAACCGTTAGATACCATTTAACAGTGGAATATGGATATACAGCTTGATAATAGAAAACTCTTGAATAAATTGCATGAAATAATATGATGTATGAAACAATGCAGTATACACCCCCCCCCCAACATGCTAAATGACGATTTCAGGAAAAACTAAAAGACCTAAGAGTCATTAAACCTAAATGAATACATAACAAAATGGGAAAAAAAAAATCATAAAATTTCAATGGAACATGATGTCTGTTTTAAAAACATAAAGTGAATACAGCCAAAAACCATATAAAAAATACATACTTTTGATGCATTTGGTGAGATAGATAAGCCAGCAGCAACACCATTATGAAAAAGAGGCCACATATTCATGTTTGCTGGAACATCAATATGAGACAAATCCACAGTGGTGTTCCTAACCAGAAGAAGAAACATATATTAGAGAAATATTAATATATAGTCTATAAATTTACCATCTATCTATTCATATATATATATATATAAACATTAAAGTATCTGAGTTCTCAGTAAAGCTATATCTAATCAAGGTTCTCAACATTTCAAATTTAAACCAAAACATTTCAGACTATGAAACATAAATAAGAATGTTTTCTATATTTCACTGAGTTATATGTGAAACAGCCTGCCTTTGGCTTTTATTTTAGAGCAAAATCAGCTTTTACTTGTCAGGCAATGAAATAAGATACTTTATTCCATGTTTGATAGCCTTTATTTCATAACTGGAAGGGTGGGATTTACATTTGTGCATTTTAAGTTTTCTATAAAATGAAAACAAAATTCCAGGCAAAATAATTCATACAATTTCTTTTGTAACATATAATGAACTATAAGCTACATGCATCCACAAATGTTACACAAATAATTAGTTCTATAATTCAAATCAAATTATAGCTTTGAGTTCTTTGATACAGCTATTCTGAATCCATAGTAATATTTTTTATACATAACAGTAATATATAGAATAAATGAGCGAGTTTTAATTAGATTTTATGAAAACTGAATCTTTAACCAAAGCTTGAAACCTACACTTAATGAATGGGAATTATTAGTATTCTTATGACCTGTTTGCTTGACAGATTAAAACAAGATTATCAAGAAACTGATATGTCAACAACTTTCAACAATATGAAATAAAGTAATATCAAGTTAATGTTATCCTAATTTAAAACTATCTTAATATACTAAAATGAGCTTCTGCCAATATACATTTTGTCAGTCTTTCTAGAAAATCCTCCAATATGATATCCCTTCCATTAGGCAGATAACCCTCATACATTTTGCCATAATTAGTAAAATAATAGCTTTTATATTTTACAAATCCAGTCTTCAGATAATCATTACTTTTATTTCTTCAATTTGAGATTCAAAATAGAAATTGGAAATCATATATATATATATATATATTTTGTAAAATTCTGACAAAATTTAGAGACCTTCTTTATACTGTACGATAAAGTTATGATAATTGGTTATACAGTCAAAAGTCATTAATTCGGACACCCATAATCCGGAATGATCTATAATTTGGACCTCAAAGCTAAAAACTTTCTGCGCATGCGCCGCGTTGGCACATGCGCACAGGCGTTTTACGCGTGCACGTAAGACCTTGACTACTGCGCATATGCGTGTGCGCAAGTGCAGAATACGTTTTCGCTTGCGCATTTAATGTATAACGGACGGTGTAAGCTAAAATTATCTAATTATCTATTTCAGTTAATGTCAATGATTGCATTGTTCCTTAATCTTCGAATTGGATCCCGCTTATTATTTTTTGCAGACTGTAAAAGTAATTTTATAAAAGTAAACTTGAACTTTCGATTATGTCAAATAGAATTTCTGATGCTGGAACTTCCAAAGGATCTACAAAACGAAAGTATGTTTCGATGTCCAACAAACAAAAAGTGGAATTGCTGCAAAAAATGGATAAAGACATGGAGAATGTGATAGAGAGGTTAGTGAAAACGAAAAAATTTCGATTGACAAGTTAGTCGGTATTCTCGGCACAGCAATTAAAGGAACTTGAACAGCGGAACTTTGTAATTGAACAAGAAATTATGTCTGTTTATAGAATTAAAGAGAAAGTATTATCACATAAAACGAAGCAACTTAAACAACTTACATTGAAAGAAATGTTTAATAAGGTAAACAACTAAATATTAAGCTTTTTTTTGTGTGTGTGTGTAAATTTTGATACCCTTTAGATCATAATTGTTTTTTTATTTTTATTTCATAAATTACGGTTTCATATTTTTAATTTTAGAATTTCTGCATGCCATCTGATGAGATTTAAACTGATGATCTATAATCCGGAAAAATCGATAATCCGGAATCGAAGTCCCGACGAGTCCGGATTAACGACTTTTGACTGTATCAGGTCTGGCTTCTCCTTTTTTTGGTGAGAAGCATAATTATGTATGAAATCAATTACTTTTGCTGTTGGGTAGATTGCTGCTTGATTATCACAATGTCTAAAAAATGCCCTCGCAACCCTTTGTGCATCACATGATCATGACACCATTCACTTTCGTTAGCAAAAAGCTGGTTTTATTTTTCTTCTTCTTTTGATCTGAATTGGAGACTGCCTTCGAAATTACTGAGCTTGAGAGTGCCTTCCGGCAGGCAACAGAAGAAATGTTTCAATCTGAGACGTTCATTTTTTAGTTCTAATATAGCATATATTAACCTATCTTTGAAAATGACTTGACTAAATGAGATGTTATTATGAAATTAAAGAGATACTGCAAAGATTCATGATGTTCTTATCATAAACAGCCAAATGTATGTGATTTTATATCACAGTTTTTAGTCGTCATCAAATAAATGTCTGTGCCCTGAAATTCTACTGTTCTCATATCTTTTGATCCAACATCATACACGGTCTGAGCTTAAGAAAAGCACTTTCAATCTTATATCACTAATTAGAGTTTGGATAAAATGACAAAGAAACTGGAAGCTAATAGTTAATATTTAAGTGTAACATCAATAAAAATTTTAATGTTAAATTTAAATATGACATAAATAAAGCAGGCATAAATAACTGAAATAAAACGCATATAATGAAACAATAATTTTTTGCAGCATTTCTGTAAAACATTTAAAAAACTTATTTTAAAAATAATATTAGTCATCTTATCAGGTTCAATGTTCCTTCTAACCTTCTTCGGGAACATGCAAGGACCTGACTCGGAACAGAGAGCCTTACAAAGCTATGTTCAAAACTGTGGGAAGTAAACAGGATACACAAGAAGGGTATACAAAACCCTTTATTTTCTCTATTTACAATGACTTCCGTACTTCGGAATACACAGACCCGCTACTTGGGGTCAAAACGTAAAAGTATAAAAATAAAACTAAACTCTAATTTAACTTTAGAATAATAAACGTGGAAGATTGGCCTTATAATAACAGGAAGCATATGTAGTACAGAGAACTGTGAACACTACAATCTGTTTAAAATTTATCAAGAGGATTAAAACCTCTGGCCTGGAAGGCAACAAGCAACTGCGTAACTTCTAAGGTAAGCGGCCTGCTTCGAACTCACTGCTTCCTCTCTCTCGCTTGGCAAAAAGCCACAACTTAAATACTTGGCGTTCGCCAGACAAACTTTGCATAAAAACCTTAACGCTTATAATTCTGGCCGGAAGTAGAAAATAAGAAGTGATAGTAAAGATTTAAAATAAAAATAAACGTTAGTAAAACTTAAGATCCTTACAATCTGAATATACTTAAGTGATATTGCTATGACTATTACCACATAACAGAAATAATTATATTAATAAAAGTATTAAGAATTTTTGTAGAATTTTTGAAAATGTTATTAAATTAAAGATAAATTATAGGTCACGAACAGAACTGTTTACCTAGGAGGTGCACGGCCAGTCAAGCATAACCTTGGAATGGGCAATATCTCTGTCACTACAGGACTATAGGTTCTGAGAGTAAACATTCCCCTATAAAATATAAATAAATAAAAGCATACATTTCAAATCAAGCTTTAAAAATTTCATATTATATTTCTTTTTCATAATAAACAAGTTAAGAAGTGTTTTATACATTGTTCTTAGATGAAGCCTTTGTACTTGGACAATTCATCATACAGTATTTGCTCAGTTAATAGCAGAGGAAAATCATAAGTGAGAATTTTTCTTTTATTTTTCATCAAGCTGAAGACTGATTTGGATGAGGTATCTAAATACAAAATATCTTACCCACTGGAGGACAGAATGCCAGTCTGGAAATTTCAGACATCAAAAATAAGATGTCTGATAGCCATTTATGCATTTCAAGCTGATCATCAAAGGCAATTTCATTGCACACTTACTAATGATTGAGGTCTACCTCAGCAAGTCATCATGATATGAACAGCAGTGAGTTACTACTTTTGTACACACCTAGTATTAGTAAAGTATATGCTAAGTAGCAGTATATCAGCAACAATGTACTGCGTTATCTAGGAAGACATTGCAGTTTTTCTTTCTGCGGTTTTTCAAATCAAAGCACATTTTCTTCTGATTACTATTACTTTTTTTAAATTTCTGATAAAGAGAAACCTTGGCCAAAGCAGATATTTAAATATAAACTTTTCTACTCATGTTGCATAATTCTAGCATTATTATGGCATAATTTTTGTTTCAGTGCAGTGCTAATGGAAAACCTAAAAGTTTATTTCATCATATTATGCTCTTTTAAAAGAGGGGGGGAATGGTATTCAAACAGTTCATAAAATCTGCACTGTATATGGTCAAATTGCTGTTTCTGGTAGCTCAGTTTTGAAGGTGGTTTGAGAAATATGGAAATTTCAGCCTCAGAGATATGAATAATACATAATAGAATATGGAATACATAGATTAGTATCACCACAACATGACAATGTTTTTTTAATGGCAGTTAAATGGATGCCTGCATCATTAGTAAGCATGTATATAAGCATGTACTTATATTGCTTACTGATCAATCCAGCTCTGGGTTCCTCTAAATTTCCAAAAAGGACAACAAATAAAATTCAAATTAACTGTGTATACCATACTACAGGAGAAAATCTCAGAGAGTGGATATTACACATGGCAATCATTACCAATGTTTCACTCAAAACTTGATATTTTTATGAGCCACTTACTACTACGTTATTTACCACAAAACCTACCAATGGAATTTCGACTCTAGGAACAAAAGAGAGATTTAAAGCAATGTGATACTTCTTACCAGCATATATCCAAACATGGAATGGCTATGCATGAATTAGCAGGCTTATTAATATGAGTACTAACATTTATTTAATTTTTAGTTAATAAGCTCAAAGTTATCTAAAATCTAGTAGACATCTTAACAATTCATCAATTATACTAACTACTTAATAGCAATATAAAATTAAATTAATTTAAATAATTGTGTCTTCAAAATAAAAGCATACTGGTATTAACATTTGGTTAAAAAATTGCTTTCAAAGGGTGCAAGAGTAAGGTGATCAACACATTCTAATTTATAAAAGTGATCCCCACCTGAAATCCCCCCCAAAGAATTCCTTACTTAAGACATAACCCTCATATCTTTTTATCCTGCTCAATAACAAATTAATCAATTTCAAATATTTCCCTATTTCGTTGTATTTACACAATAATTTTTTCCGCAAAAAAGAAAAGAATTAGTTACTGCAACTTAAGTTTAAGAAAAAAATCAGTTCTTCAACTACACAAAACATACAAAAAATAATTAACTAAAACTATATATGAAAAAGAATTTTAAAGGAACCTTATTTGAAAATTTTAATGTAAATAATTATTACCACTATCATAATAAATTAAAAGTTCTAGAAACTGAAATGATTTTTACAAAACTTTCTGTATTAAATAAACTCTTTGATTTTTGAAGATTTTGCACAAGAAACAGAACTAGGGAAAATACTCATAAAAATTTTTCCTATTAAGTCATTTAATGACAATTTCTTATTTTCAAAATATTTATGAGACATCTATTAGAAATGTATTATTAATGTGAAACAATGTATGATCAGGGAATTTATTATATAAGGTAATATTAAATTACTATAAGTAGTAATACCTTCCAACAGTAGCTGCCATAGTGCGAATGCACAAACTGTATAAGTGCCTTTCTTGTTCTTCAATAAATTCATGATCACTGAAAATAAAAGTATACATAACTTAGAAACAAAATAACATACAACTTCTAATCAAAGGCTGATGATAAATGAATTCCAATTAAAGGATATAAAAATAAGTTTTGTAAAATGATGTAACATGCTGGATAATTTCACAGATTTGTTCTACATGAATAATACAGTATTCATATCAGAGATTGCTCCTGCCATCTACACATATTGTTACACGCATATGGGTTCATAATAGATTGAAGGCTATAAGTGAGATTGCAAGGATCTCTGCATCTAAATTCGACATGAAGTGCACCACAGGAGTACACTGGGGAAAATATTTACTGTATACGGCAGCCCCAGTGTTGTCTTGTATTTTAGAGCCATCAGTGTTTACTCTAGTCCATTCAGGTTCACGGTATTATTCATATAATACACATAATGTGTTTGACTTTAATATTGCATCAGAAATGTTTTTCTTTCCCAAGCCATTAATATCTAGCTGGTATTTGATATCAATATATTCAAGGGGATTAGCCATGACCTTGTTATAAGGTACATTATTTTAATATATTACTATAAATTATACATTTCTTATATATGTACCTATTTTAGTCATAAATCAATTTTTTGCTGCTGTGGACAAAAGTACAGCAAAATAACTTATTTGTTTATGAATCTTGATTTAAAAAACACCTCAGAATTACATCAATGAAATTTATGCTTTCCATTACTCTAGACCTTATTTCAAAATGAATACAGATTTTGAAGAAAGTGTCATATTGATGCTGGTCTCTCTTTCTCTTTGTACTCCTTCCTTTTGTTTTTTACCTTACATGTAAGGTATATACAACAAGGGATTGGGATCTGTTCCATCTCTCATCTGTGATTACACATCTTTAAAATTTATTTCAGAAATCTTGCACAGAAGTCAGTGGTTGAAATTACAGAAGAGCAGCTCTTTCTTAAAAAGAAAGATTATCTTTCTAATCAATTATTTTATTCAATCGTCCTTCTTTAAAAAAAAAAAAAAAAAAAAAAAAAAAAGAAGAAGAAGAAGAAGAAGACAACTACTTAGGCTTGTTTTCAATCTATTATATTATAGTTATCGGTTTATATCAGTGGTCTCAAACTCAAAACGTATGCAGGCTGAATGCATGATCTAAAAACAGCTGACAGGGCTGAATTTTTTTAATGAAATGAACATTTTTTATTCAAAATTTTTAAATAAATTAAAAATTTTGTTTAATAGACATTTATTAAAACCTACGTAAATAATAACAATAATATAAGCAGAAAAATTCAAATTTATATTTATTTTGTATATTAAGTCTCAAGTCTGGTACCTGCAAGACTTTTCCTTGGTTACACTGTCTTCAAATATATTGATAGCTAAATATTAATTTTTTGCACCGACATAGTTCAAATAGTTTTAACATGTTTAATTAATCAATAAATAGCTTTCTTTAATTTAAACTAAAATTAAACAAATTAGAGAAACGTTTTTCAAAGTAGGATAAAATTTGAGAATAAATAACAACAATTAAGTTCCTTTCTCTTATTTATTAAATTTTTCTTTGACAGATAAAATATATATGTTTGTATGTTAGTTACTATACACTTCTTTATTTCTTATTACAGCTTGATCAGAGCATTTAAATTCTAGTAACATTTCTAGACTTGGAGAAAAATTACAAAATATTATCTTCATCATTGACTGTAAACACTCATCTGTCAATAGGGTTCTTTTCTTATTCATTTTCAACTGAAAAAAAATTCTTAACATGTTCCCGAACAAAGAGATATTCTTAGCATGAAAATTCATAACTGAGCTTATTTATTTTTTGATAAGTATGAATAAAATGTAATAAAATTTGTATTTCAAATCTTTGAATTTATATCACACTGTAAATTAATTAGACCCATTTATGGATTTTCTGGCCCACTATTCATATTCATTTCTAATGGTAATGAAAATAATGTAAACTTAGACTTCAAATCAGTAAAATTTTGAAAATTTGTTATAGCATATTTGCAATAAATACATAATTGAAATGTATTCGTCGACTACATAAAAATTGATTTGGTGACCACATGAGACCAATGTATTATTTCATTAATATTCCAACCATATTATAGAAACCTGTCACAGCATTGTCGTAACAGGGCATGTTTTCTTTAACTATATCATTATCACTTGCTTGTTTTCAAAAATAAGTATATGAATTATCGATATAAATTTAAAAAAAAAAGATGTGGCTACAATGTCTGAGGAGACACCTAATGTACCAAGAAAATTGTTGAAGAAACAATTCCAAATTTCTCATAACACCTATAAAATAAATTATGAGAAAATTATTCAAAATGGAAAAACATATATTTTTTGATTTCTAAACTAAAGTTTAAATCATGGTGGTGTCAGGCTACAGAATCAATTCAAAATACGCATATAACTGCTGGTGAAAACGCATCCAAAGAAGAAGAGATGTAAGAATTATTTGCAAAGTTTAGTATTGAAAATCTGGAACTAGCAGCCACTTCTGTACCGTGACATTGGAAATGATCAGTAGTACTACAGTAGTACTACAGTTCAGTAGTACTACAGTCAAAAGTCGTTAATCCGGACTCGTCGGGACTTCGGCGATTCTGGATTATCGATTTTTCCAGATTATAGATCATTAGTTTAAATCTGGTAAGATGGCATGCAGAAATTATAAAATTAAAAATATGAAAGCATAATTAATGAAATAAAGAACAATTATGATCTAAAGGGTATCAACATTTACAAAAAGAAAAAGCTTAATATTTATTTGTTTACTTTATTAAACATTTCTTTCAATGTAAGTTATTTAAGTTGCTTTGTTTCATGTGATAATACTTTAATTCTATTAAACAGACATAATTTCTTGTTTAGTTATAAAGTTCAGCTGTTCAAGTCCTATAATTGCTGAGTCGAGAATATCGGCTAATTTGTCAATCGAAATTTTTTCGTTTTCAATAACCTCTGCGTCACTTTCTTCACTATCGGAAGCGAATTATAATGACGAGGAACTTGATTTAAATCACATCAAAGATGGAGTACATCGAGATGAAATACTACATTTAGTAAGGAATTATAAGCCAAATAAAATAAAAACATCTGCCCTAAAGATAAGGATAGTGCTGACAGATCAACTTCCAATTCATTGCACGCCACGTCGTTTGCCTCCCGCAGAGCAGCATGAAATTGATAAACATATTTCGGAATGATTAGATAATCAAAGGATATGCCTTTATCCATTTTTTGCAGCAATTCCACTTTCTGTTTAATGGACTTCGAAGCATACTTTCGCTTTGTAGATTCTTTACATATTAGTAAATATATATCAGAAATTCTATTTGATATATTCGAAAGTTCAAGCTTACTTTTATAAAATTGCTCTAACAGTCTGCAAAAAATAATAAGCCGGATCCAACTCAAAGATTAAGGAACAACGCAATCTGCAACATTAACTGAATTAGATAATTTTTAGCTTATACCATCCGTTATACATTAAACGCGCACGCGCACACTCATATTCGCAGCCATAAAGGTCTTACACGCACGCATAAACGCCTATGTGCATGCATCAACACGACGCATGCGCAGAATGTTTGTAGCTTTGAGGTCCGGATTATAGATCATTCCGGATTATGGGTGTCCAAAATTAACGACTTTTGAATGTATATAAATTTTGAAGAATTAAGAATAAGTACTTCCATTAAAGATCATCTTTGTCTAAAAGGGAAAACAGAAAAGCTGAAAGAATCTAAACTCCTGGAGTTAATGTAAATGCACAAGCAAATACTCTGAAGGAGGCTTGCTTTCTACTTCTGCCAAATTAAAAAAAAAAAAAAAAAAAAAAAAAAGATACCGTTTTAAGAAGACAGAAACATTTATCAAAAATGGATCTGATTTAAACATGATGCAATGATACTGATTTTACCCAATAAACCTTCACAACTCTTTCCTAAATCTAACTTCTACACAAAGAAGATTGTGGTTATGCTAGGTGGCTCGCAACTAGTCGATTCATTACTTTTTCCTTGATTCTGGAGCAAATATCACTGCTAAATTATACATTGCAAAGTAAAGGTTTTCTATCGAAAATTTAATCCTAAACAACGAGCACAGACCTACTCTGCTTCCGACTTGCGTGAGTTTGAAAAAATTAAATGAGTTAGGTGTTTAAGTTCCACCTTATCCTGCACACTTTTATAAACTGTCCAATGAATATCAGTTCTTCATTTCTTTTTCAAATTTTAAAACAAATAATTTCACAACAGCAGGATACTGAAAATAATTTACAGCAATTCTGCATTAAGGGAATCTGAATTTTTCTCACTGGGATAAGTTTCCTTTCCATACCTTAGATAAAATGCAGTAGAAAGGTGCTTATTTTTAGTCTAAATACTGAATTATTAAAATATTACCATGAACTTGCAGTTGAAAAGCTAAAATCATCTTAATAACCAAACATATATGTGTCAAAATAATTTTACTTATATCCTATATGCAAGTTAAAAATAAATTTCACATAAATTAACTGTTACAATGTTATCACTAAGTTGGGATTAAATCATCCAATACATATGTGTTAGCATTACCTTACTTATACTGCATACTTTAAGATAAAAACTAAAAATATGATTACTTAGAGAGGGAAAAGTGAAAAAACTATTACCTAACTTCAGGTCTTTGTTGTAAAGCTATTCGAACAGGTTTAGATGACTGCAACATATGATAAACATCATGGATTCTATGATCTTGACTGAATCTTAAACGTAGTACCTTCATATATAGAAAAATAAAATCAACTGCATTAGGAAACTAATTAACTTCACACTTTTAATAGAAAAATATCCATCAAAACAAAATAAAAGTTAGTGCACACATAAAAGCTTTTTAAAAAAATACATTGCTTTTATGACTGAAAACACTGTACAGGGGAAAAATACATTATACTATTAATTTTAATAATCATCTTAGATAACTTACATAAATTATTATGCCTCTAAAAAAACTAAATGCTAATACATCTTATAAATTTCTAAACACCTGGAACTAGTTTTTCAATATTCCAGGATTCTACAAAGGAAGGTAAGTACAATATTATTTATGATTCAAATCATATTTTAAGTAATTTTATCTTCAGTAGTTTAATAATAATGTTTGCTCTGGATGAAATGTTATATTTTTTACTCATAGCCCCTACATTTCATTTAAATTATGGGTACTATTCTGTTACAGTGGCTACAGTTAAAAATAAAAAGAAAACAATGCAAGAAAAACACGCCAAATATCGTGGCTTGAGAATTTAATGTTTGAAATACCATCACTGTTATTTTTTTGCCATTTTTTGCCATTTTTTTAGTATGATGGATTACACAATTTGGAAATTATCTAATAATGAAGAGGCTGTCATAAGATTCTTTCAGGACAAAGGAACAATTCATAGCAATAGATTTTATTCTCAAAATCATCCAATGAAGTTATCTTTTAACTCAAACAAAGCTCCTATACGGCATTGTTCTGTACATTCTTGCTATTATTCATTCTTGAATTTTGCTAACTGCATTCAGAAATCAGCCATAATACAACAACAGATTGGAATATCTATTTTAAAGTCTTTTCACAAAAAGAAAAAAAAAACAATGTTGGAAGTGTTCTTAAGGGACAATGGGTATTCGGGGTTTATGCCCGGAAAGCAAAGATTTTTTTTTTTTTTCTGGTTGTCATTCTCAATCATTGTGTTCAACATTGATGACTGCCATTCAGGATGACTGCCATTACAGGAATTAAACAAGCACTGCAAACCATATGAAGCACAACATAGGTCACTCACAAGTAGGGTACGAGGCTATTATCTATTTACTTTGGGTAAATAATAGTTGACACCCTACATTTCTATGTAACATCACTTAATACATGAACACATACAATAAATTGCCAGCATTCAGTTGGTTAAGTATTAGCAATGTAATGTATCATGAAATGTAATTCTTATAAACTAATTATTGTAAAAACACACAAAATTGCATACAATGAAAAAAAAATAAGTTGGCAATGTATCAGCATATAGTATATGCAGATGTATCTAAAAGTACGTAGTACACGTAGGTATGCATGAAGCTATTTTTTCCTTCTGTTTTCAAACTTATTTATTTATATCCTTTTTATTATTATTTTATATTCTTTTCTAATTTTGACTGCTGATTGTAAATGATGATGTAAACAAGTCATGATTGTAGACATGATCTATAAACTAGAAATAAGTTGCTTCCAGCCACCACAATTTATAATGTCATGATCAAGCTTTACGTGTAAATAACAATGTACTGCTAAATAATAATGTCATTTCTGAAAATCAATTATCACAAAAACGTACGTTACAGCACATGATGAATCGTTAAAATTGAGCTGCTTTAAATTTCAGTACTTAAATGTAAGCTTTGTAAACAATTTTTTAGTTCTTACTTAATTCTGATAGTAAACACTGACGTAAACAGATCATATTTACAAAACTGATTTATAGCGTGGGAACATCATGCCTGTTTCTACTGCAATATGCAATGAACTGACACATGTTGCCTGTACCCATTACAATAGATAACAGCTTAAAAATATGCACCTGCACAACTGTGTATATCATGTAATGCAATCCATTTTACTTGAGCTAATTTAACGCTGAAAGGTAGGAGTGCTGTTGATGCTGCTGGCCGTGGTAGTACTTATAGTGTTGGCTGGAGTCACAGTTTCTATCATGACTCGGGGAATGATGCCAGAATGTTGTTAGTTTTCTAGTTAGTGTATGGGGCTAATACCTACTTACTTAGGTAAATATTAGGTCACCCCTTCACTTCTACATAATATATATTCAAAAACTGAAATCTTTTCTGCAATACTGAATGATATTTCTAATTTTATGCCACCTGTTTAGATTGAATTTTGTTTTGCTTTGTTATTATTTCATTTATGTGTAGAATATTGTAGATTGAAAAACTGAAAAGAAAAATTTACTTTCTTTAGGAACTAAAATTTTAAAAAGTGTATTTTTTTAGTCTTTTGAAGTCTATTATTATTTGATAATTTTATACTTAGCAGCAATTCGTGGCAGAAAAAAGATGGTGCATTTTTAACTGAAGCCACTCTTAACAGAATAGTACCAGATTATGCATAATACAGAATGAAAACTGTGAAGTAATTAAATACTTCAAAAAATTGCTCAAACTAAGCTATAACTTTACTGCTGCTCTTAAATCTTAATACAAATCAAGCCTTTTTTCTTCTTTAAAAAAATTAAAATCAACTATTACAAGCTAATTTTCTAATAAAGAAAAAAAAAAGGCAGTTATGTCCCCATGTTTCTCTGCATGTCTTTCACAATCTACAAGGCTAAATTTTCTCATTCATCAAAGGTTAATTATTTATAAATATTAATTTGTATGAAAATTATTATTCTTTATGCATACAACCTTAAAGGTAACTTTAAATTCAATAAACTATGAAATGTCAAAAATTTTAAAGTAATTTAAAAGCTTTATTAATTAATAAAAGATGATGCATAGTATTGTTACAAGAAACAAAGCAGCTATACTTTTTTTGCAGGAAAAACATTCCTTGAAAAATTTTGCTGATTAAAACAAATAATTATATGAAAAATAACTTACACTACCAAGAAATAATAAAATGTATTTTTTTAACTTTATTATTTAAAAGTTTGGTTTATTCAAATTTAACTTTTTGTTTTCTCATAATTTATTTTTTTATCAGATATTTTTTATACCTTGCTTTAAAGAATGTTCCCTGATCAAAAATCCTACCATTAGAAAATAATAAACAATCAGATTATTTCACTGATTAAAAAATAAAAGGTTTAGGAACAAAATTTTTCACTTATGAAAAATAGGAAATGAAACCTTATTAAAAAAGATACACACAAAATAATTATATAATCATTATTTAATCTATGATTATGTGTCATAAATTAAGAAATTTCTATTATAAAACACCAGCACTGGTGCAATGGTCAGATTACATCAAGCATATGCACCTAAGTTATGAGCCAAAATATCATGTTTCACAGAGTACCAAATTGCCTATACATTTAGAATATAAGATACATTGCTGATTAAAAATTGCTAACATAACAAATGATATACTTCTTGAAAGTATAATTAATTAAATAAAAGATATTGAATATTAAAAATAAAAAAAAGAAACCAACAAAATTATCATTGATTATTAACATATTCAAGCATTTAATATTCAAGTAATAATATTTCAGGGAGGCAACTGGCCTTGCAGTTTGGTTGCAATACTCTTAATATTGGGACTAGCATTGCTGACATGTAATCACACAGAATTTCTAAAATATTTGTCACTCATCCTTGTATCTAAATATTTGTACATTTGCTAGTGCTTGCTATGCTTCATTTTTGAAAACGGTCATTCACACATGTATATACTGCCAAAAAGACTCAATAATGAGATCAATGCTGCTGATACATAATTGCAGAGATTTTTTTTAATTAGTTTGGATTGTACTTACTTGTGAAACATGTTTCATTATTGACAACAATCATTCGCAAGTGTAAATACTACTAAAAATAATATATATTTTTCTTGAAAAAGTGCATAAATTTAAATATTTTTTAAACTAACTTTACTAAATATATTTTATGAAAGCCTGCTGAAGTAATGTTACTAAGTTTTGAATCCAGAATTAAATCTTCTTGAAACTCAGTATGCATTGCAGCTTTTCTAAAGCATTGTTTATGTCAGTACTCATTGCATTAATAAACATAGAAATTTTACTTCTAGATAATTTAAGTTATCAATAGTCAGGCAGACTGATGGCCAGATCAGATTGCCAGAATTTTCAAAACCATATTCAGCTCAAAGGCCTGCAATTAGGCATCATAAAAAGCATTCTAGAGCTTATATGCTTCAGGAAGAATGATTGTGGAGAATTTTCTGAAGAAAATTAGCTCATATTTTCACTGCATACAAGTACATCCATTAAACCTGATATAACAATTTCATTCAGACATTAGTAACCAAACCCAAAATGGATTACTAGTATTTACTGGTCTTAGATTAGCCACTGATGGTCGCTTCCTACAAATAAAAATGAGAGGGGGACAAAATATAACAATAAGACCTGATGCTAAGAAAAAAAAACTTACTTCTAAATCTAAATGACACAGTCCATCATCAGTTTCTCGGTTGTTACCATTTTTACCAGCTTCATTTTTTGTCTTATTCAAATTATACTGTATATGCTTCTGCTCACACACTTCTAATGATGATAAATCACGCCTGCCTAATAACATTACAAACAATATAATACCTGTATTTCAATAAATAAAAGGAAGGTGCATAAAAAATATAAAATAATATTACCAATTAAATCAAACATATCTTTGGACCACAAACAAGATGGCTCACGCCAACAATTTAGAATTGCGTCTTTAATTGGCAATGCAAGACCAATGGGTAAAGAAGTCAGATCTTTTACTGTAAAGCCTTTAAAAGACAAAACGTAATTAGATATTATAATTAAAGATATAAAAGTAAAATTATTCAATTTAACTTTCTTTTACCTATTTTTGTAAGGAAAAAAATAGCAGCCTTTTTGGGATTGGTACTGATTTTGTAACAAGAAGCAAGCAAATTGTCATCAAGCAAATCTTTAATTCTTACACCTAGAATAAATAACAAAAATTATGATACTGAAATTCATTTCATTTTTTTTCATGTAACCTTAAAATTAATAAAAATTTTATGGAAATTTATAAAAAAAAAGAAGAATATACAATAAATATACCAAACAGCCATTACATTATGACCACCCTTCACTTAGAGCAATCAGCTAGCCCGGAGACAAAGCCATGGTACATGCGTGGCTGATGCTAGGGTATATAAAGCATCCATAAACTGGGAAAAACAGATGATTTATCAGATTTTGGTAAGGGTTACATCACCAAGCCTCAGCACCTGGAAACTTCAATTTCAGAAATGAAGTATTTGGTGGGCTGCTCATGTGCAGCTGTTATCAGTACTTATCAAAGCAAACATTGTTATGCATTGTTTACCATAATCAAAGGGCTACAATGGCCGTAATCACCAGCAGCTACAACAGTGGTGACCCAGATGGTGTGTCTCAACACACACTGCACCATACACTGCTGCATATGTGCCTAAGCAGCTGGCACCTGAATTGCATCCTTGTGCTGGAAGCACATCATTGCTAACAACACCTGCAGTGGACTAAGGAACAAGGGGCACTGGACCATAGAAGAATGAAAGAAAATCTCATGGTCTGACAAATCACATTTTTTGGTCAATCACATTGATGGGCAAGTTCTAATACGCCGATATCCAAAGCAAACCCTGTGTAAAAGCAAGCTTTTACACTGCAGCTAGAATGAAATAATCTTTATCACTCAACACAAGAGCATAAAGACTGACCGAACCAGTTTGTTGCAGCTGTTCCCCACGCCACCACTTATTCCCATATTGTGAGCAGTGACAGAATTGTCAGCAATTAACTACATTACAAGAAAATCCTTCATTCATGGGAAGAGAATGTGTTCCAAAGGGTGTGTCTGACGCCGTTGTCTACCTGTCACTATATGCTGTTGTATGGAATTCTTCAGGTGTAATGTCGAGCAACTTCTTTGCACTGGTAGAAAATAATCTATGTGGTTTAAAGAATGATTACTTCATCATAATTTTGCAGTGTCTACACTGTGTCAACATAATTCATTATGAAGATGAAATATGATTTATTGGTGTTGCACGTTCTTCAATCGTCAATGGTGCTCGGCTAAAATAGTAAAGAACAGTTAAAGTATTGACAGCAACGTTTGTGTAAGTGTGGAGATCCTATATGTAATCAAGAAATGAATGAAATGATTTGTAGCTACTAATAAATAAAACAAGAAAATGTATAAATTGTATTTATTCCATAATCATAAGTAAAAAATCAAATTGCACTATACAAGTATGTAAAAAATCGAGTTGCACTATACAAGTCATATGAAGGATAATTCCAGTGTTTTTAATAATTGGGTTAATGCACACAGAACACAATAGCCGTATGTTTCTAGTTGAAATTCACTTGCTTATTTGACATACTCAGTAGTTGTCATTAAGTAATTAATATTGGAAATTTTATCTTATATACCACACATAACTTCATGACTCAGCACAAGAGTATAAAGTCTGACTAAACTGGTTTGTCGTTACTGTTCCACAGCACACTGCAAAAGGTCAAGGCTAAACCTCAACCCTGAGACCACTTCTCATGTTGTGAGCAGTGACAGAATTGTCAGCAGTTATCTTATGTACCACACATAACTTCATCACTCAGGGGGACAGCATAACATTCAGCCCATCAACACAACACCTTTGCACCTGGGTGCACAGTTGGCCATATACAAGGCAGTGGTAATAGCATTATGGTGCACATTAGAATCCATCATTCTTATAGAACAATCCTTGATGTTTATGCACTATGTTAACATCACTGCAGACAAGGTACACCCTTTATGGGAACAGTATTCCCAGCAGATTATGGAATTTGCCAACAAGATAATGCAATATGGCATAACAGGCAAAGTGCAAGAGAGTAGTTCTAGGAACATTATAGTGAATTTTAAGTCATATCTTGGCCTCTGAATACCCCTGGCATGAATCGAATCCTGACATGGCCTATTAGTGGCCGTGGGATAAAGTTGTCGAACACTGGTAGTTTGATCCAAGGTTTGAATCCCACGAGCGAACTCGCTGCATGGGCGTTTTCGTTGTTTTACCCATGTGTAAGGTGTATACGACGCAGTTTCCTTTAGAAAGTCCTGGCATCCCTCACCTCAGAAAGATAGCCCTAGTGTATGCTTTTCCATAAGCTCAATAAACCAAACCATTTCCTAACATGAGTCAACATTTTGCTGGAGGCTGGCATTTTTGAGGTTGAAAGGTAATCCTACTTCAAATTAAACAGGTGATCATAATGTAATGCTCTTCAGTGCATATTAATCTAAAATAAATATGCTTTGTTTGAATGAATTGTTATTTTTAAGTAAATGGCTATTTACAGAACTACTGAAAAATGATTATATTTTTCATTGGTTTATTTTATAATTAAAAATGCTAACATAAAGTCATATACACATTCTTAAGACTTCACCCTAGTTCAAAAAAATATTCCTGGAACATCATTAACAAAATACTAGAGGAATATACTGTAATTTCTGGAAGAAAGGGCGCATCAGCATAAACACCGCAATAGATTAAATTGTGCATGATATCGTCGTGGGCCATATAGATGCAAAATCTCAACCTAAGTCCTGATATATGACATATCAGTTAAGAAAAATGCATGAAATGAAACCACAACTTAAAAATAAATTAAAGAAATGTTGAAAATATATTTACGTTCACGTATATGCTTATATTTACCCACTAAAGAAGTCCATATTTGCAATACTCAGACTATATTATAAAAAATGTTGCAACAACGAAATATTAAATTTGGATGGCAAAATGAAATTTTAAATTTTTTTTACAAAAAGGAATTACAGCAAACTATACATCATATGAAGTCATCAAAATCTGATTCTTCACTATCTGAATTAAAAAGATTTAGTAAATCCTGATCTAAGTCTTTCAGATCGTCACATTCATCCTCTTGGTTTACAGTCTTGGTTCTTTATCTAAGGATATAATTTCAGCTTCTTTGAACCGTCCTATTATTGACAATGTTTTTACCGATTTCCACGCACTTCCTACCCACTTTGCAAATTCTTCATAAGATGCTCTACGTATTTTACCACTTTTGTATATGTATGCAATCCTTCACTCATCCAACACTCCCACTGCTTTCGGACTTCAGCTTTGAAGGATTTATTACCTGACATATCTAATGGTTGTAAGATTTTTGTCAAACCACCAGGAATTAATGCAATGGTCGTAGACAATTTTTGACATCTGGTTTTCACTGACTCAAGTAAATGAGCACGCATGGAATCCATTATCAATAACCCTTTTGGTTGGAAAAAAGATCCCTTACGACACTACCAAACTTTTTGTAGCCATTCATGCATGATTGTTACGCACATCCAGCCGTTCTCGTTTGCACAAATAATTACGTCATTAGGAAAATCTCCCTTCAGAATAGTCTTTCGTTTAAAAATGATCATTGGCTTTAGCTTGTCACCGTTTGCGGCACAAGCTAACACGCATGTAAATGACGTTCTTTCATGCCCCGTCGTAAGCACAGATACAGTTTTTGCACCAGTTTTATCAACAGTTCTGTTTGCAGGAGAGTCAAAAGCTAACGGTGTTTCATCCACATTTATTATCTGTGACCGAAGAAGTTTTTTTGGTCAATAGTATCTATCATATATTTTAGAAAAGATGCATTTTTATCCTGCCAATCCATTAGTAATTATTGCCCGACTGTTGTTCTAGTGCGCACAGAAATATTTTTTCTTTTCACAAATCTGCTACACCAGAAAGGCTCTCCTTTGAAATCATTTATGTTCATTTGTTTTGCTATAAATTTTGCTTGTAAGCGAGTTTTTACAGTTGAAATTGCCATTCCCTTTCTTCGTTGCTCCTTTATCGAGTTTGCAAGGTTGTCCTCTAGATTCAGCCACCTTACAGTACCACTTCTTTTGGCTCGTTTCTGTTGTGGCATAATTTTAAGAAGTTCTTTTTCAGTTCTCCAATGTCGAATACATCTCTCGTCCACTTCAAACTGTCGAGCTGCTGCTCTATTTACAATTTGTTCAGCATGTGAAATTACATTAAGCTTAAAACCAGCAATATGGCTTCTGTGCCGTTTAGGTGACATTTTCAAAAATTTTCTGCTCCCTTCTTACTTAAAAACTATCCAACAAGTACTTGTACCCAAACTGATAGGATCTGTATCTGGCAGAATGCCAAGAAAAATCGATTCATGCTGAAGGGGAAATATGTCAGAGTTCCTTATAGCGAGGCAGGTGGAGTCGTGTCTGCCTTTAAAAAAGTTGCAGAAAAGGCAGGGGTGGGGAGAGGATGGGTCCTGGAAGATTCATCGAATGGCAGAGGAGAGAGACTATTCAAACTGATGAGAATGTTGATTTGAAAAGGGGAAGAATGTTATTGTTCTGAGATCCTGCTTAGGGTGAATAAAACATGTAGGTCCGTTCAAGGGAAAGAATGTAAACAAAATAACGTTCGCGAAAAGCAACTGAGTGGTCTTTTGTGTGGGACCAGCATCAGTCTATGTACAATGACAAGGCCATCCAAACTATGTACAATGACCATCATAGGAAATATTTTATTTTTAGTGCACCTAAACGCCGCATGGGTAGAAACGGCGCACCCGCTGAAATTTAAGTTTAAACACGTAAACGCCGCGGCGTTTCTTCCAAAAAATACGGTAACTTTCTCTTGTTCAATAAAAGATAAATGAAGAAGCTCAATATAAAATTATGTCTGTCACTGAAATTCATTCCAGTTTTATCAAAGCACTATTGCTACACTGAATATGGTAGAAACTGAAATGTTTCATAGAGAAGTTCAGGTGCTTGGTTAAAAGAAAAAAGCTCAGAATAGGTTTTTACATGCTTTTCACAAGAATATAATGACAGCTACATCATTCACAAGACTGCTGAGCAGAAAAATTTCAGAATTTTTAAGGAATCCCAACTTGATGCATAAATTAGTGCAAATAATAATTTTGACTTTTGAAAATTTTAAATTGTGATTTTTCTCACAATAACAGAATGCTGCAAAGAACTTTTGCACTTTCAGTTTAAACAGATGTACCTAATGATTACCTAATGATATATTACATCATCAGTGATGTTATCGGTTGAAAGGATTTTGAGATGGAAATATATTTGTTGGGCTATTCCACATTGAAAATATCCATAATAGTGGATACAGATGCATTCAAGACGTTAGTGGAAACTTACTTTCTAGTAAACAACTACTCACATATACCCTCCATCAAATCTTCAAGATTAATAAGAAGTAAGTTTTGGAATTTTGTGAATTCTCAGTTGAGCAATAGGCAAATCATTCACCATGCACTGTCCTGTTTTCATGTTACAGTCTTGAAAGTTGAATTTTCTTGGATTGCGCTGTCACATTAGAAAAAAAAAATGGGTGCTATATGACAATATTAACACCTAAAAACAGTGACTCTACTTTGATGAAGAAGATTTTACTCCTGATAGATTTTTACACTTATATGAAGGCAGTAGCTCATTACTTACTATGTTTAATATACATATTACGTTTTTCCTTGCCAAATTAATACAGAGATTTTACATTTCTTATGAAAATGTAACTTCTGTGAAATTCGAGATACTCTGAAATCATAAAAGGATATAAAAAGCATTGCACATCACATATATCATAATAGTTTGGTATATCAAGGTTGCCACACATTAAGAAATGGTAAAACAAGGAAATTTAAAATATTTAAGTTATTGAAAAGTAAACTGTGTACATTCTTACATAGTTGATATTATGATGCAGTTGAAATGACAGTGTGTTAATGAAGTCACATATCAAGAGCCCAACAATTTTCCAAAACTAGTATATACCCAATAAAAGAAATGCTACAGTTTCATGGACTTTCATTCCTTCTTTAAATTAATTTTTTTTCAACTCTTATAAACATTACACTAAAAAATTGTAGAACTCTATTTAATCCAGGTCACAGTTCCAGATGTAATTATGAATCTAAAATTGACGAGATCAGTCTCAAGCATCGGGTAACCTTGTACGCATGAGCCCTGACAGTGTGATTATAAGACTGCTGAATAAATATTAAACCTCAAGGAGGTGGCTGCATGGTTGGTTTTCCCTGTGTTATGTGATTATGAGTGAGCTTCCTTCAAAAAATCTTCTACAAAGGCATCCCTTCCCATAAGCAGATACCTCTTATCTGCCATATTCAAATAACCAAACTCAACACTATACATATCATGAGAATTTTCACAAATTTTAAAAAAAATCAGATTTTAAAATACTAACCAGAGAAATGGGCAAAGGATTTTATTTTGCTTACCATGCATATAAAAGACAGTGTCTTGCTAATTTTATGAACATACATAATTTACGATAAGATTCCAGATTATCTAAATAAGTTTTATCTAAATAATTTAATGAAAGAAGAAATTTTAAATGCATCATTCAAACACCGTATCTAGTCTATCAGAATGGCTATTATAGCCACTTTATGTCTCAAAAGTTACTTAAAATGATATAATGATTTAGCATCAGGCTTATATGATCAAATATGAAAAATGTGTGAAAATATTCATGTACATCTAAAAGAAATCAATTTGCAAAAACTTTCAATCACCAATTCTTATAATTTTATCAACATTTCCAACATTACTGTACAATCAAAATAACAATAATTAAGCTATTTTAATAATTAAATTAAATGTGATAATTGGACTGTTTTAATTTCATTTAATTTTGTAACAGGATTTATTTAACCATTTAAAAAAAAGTAACATTCAAAACCAAATTTCTGTCATATGCTGAATACTAACCAGAGAAATGCTGGTAGTTCAAAAGCCAACACAAATATTATACATAACTGGAAAATATGCAACAAAAGATTATATCATACCTGGAACAATAATTTGAGAAAGATAATCTTGAACCTTCTGTGCTGGCTGATCAACTGATGCTAATATGGCATAAACCTAAATAGAAGTGCATATCAAAACAATGAATATTTTTTGCAATAAACTTCACATAGCAAATAGAAAGATTATATTTTTTACACATAACTAGGCTGTTAGGGACTTTTAAATTAAAGTCCTTATTTGCTGATGAAAAAATTATGCAGGCTTAAAATATATGGAAATAAATTAGATCGTTTAACGTGTCTAAATTTTCAAAAGAAACATGCAATACGAATTCTGATAACAAATTGTTAACTATAAGAAGACTAATGACAAAGAATAAATTGCATAAATAACAAATACATAGAGAATTTCTATATTTTGTAGGTTACCTAGTTAAAAAGAATTTTTAATTAAAGGAACAATAATTATTAAAATTTTTAAACAATCTAAGTTTTGAAATAATCTGCATATTAAAGTAAAATAATAAATGAAATAAAAAACACAATGTAACAAGTCTAATATTAAATATAAATTTCAATATGTTTAGTCAAACTTCTGCATACTTTTAATACACTCTGCTGGCTAACAACTATGCAAAAATGTACATAACTCTGCTTAAAACATTCAACAAATTTAAAATTACATTAGAATTCAGTTCTTAAAATGATGGAAACAATTATTCTCTTTCCCATGTATATAAAAGAAGAGCATACATTACCTGTAAAAATGTAATGAAATTCATAAATTAACAAATAAAACTTTTCAAAGTTCAAGAACTTAAAATAGCTAAATTGCCAATCAGCCGTCAAATCCAGGCACACACAGTGGAAAGGCTTATGATTCTGACAAGGATAATTTGTTTCTGATATTATAGAATAGATGAATTCACAAAGTAATTGGGAGATCTACCAATGCTATGTACTAAAATTATAGATTTGGTTTTACATTAAAAAAAAAAAAATGTAAAAAGTGATTTTAAGTTAAGTTTAAAGTTAAATTGTAAAACTATGAAACATTTTGTAAAAATTACAAAAAATTCATAAATGTTGAAAAATATGCATAATTAAAAAATACAGCTCACCATAATAATATGACACAACATATTTGTAACCTGTGGAATGTAAGGAAAAGGTTGACATCTACCAGATGAAAGATACTCTTTTATCCAGGTATAAACACATGGAGCATTCACAAAATAATTTGGATAATGAATCATTTGAATTTGATCTTAAAAAAGAAAAATATTAATTAACTGACAAGAATAATAATTTGACAAGTTATAAACATGTTAAAATGACCCACAAAATCAATATTTACAAGTTATATGTTCCAAAATATACAATATGGAGGGATTTAATTTTAAAACTCCTAATTTTGCAGTTTTTCATTTATTGTGTTATAAAAGTAGCAAATATCCTATTTATGGCTGCAAAATAAATGCTGCATTAACTTCATTTTTACTAAAAGAATAAGGGTATTAAGCTTTCTTCCTTTACATTTTCTTAAAAAATATTAAATTTAAGTTAGCAGATATATTTTTTATTCTTTATGAATAAATTTAAAAAAGTTCATTTTACTTCTATAATTATTACTATGTATTCTTACTTATAAGTCCCTTACCACAAAAACCAATTTTAATTACCATGTCTCAAAATAGAGACTTTTAAGGGCACATAAATCTTATTTACAGAGAAACAATAACATATTATGCAATGCAAAACTGACTTCTAGTGCAGAAAGTCTATTTTTACATCAGGCAGTTTTTCCACACCACAATTATATTAAAAAAAAAAAAAAAAAAAAAAAAAATCCCTTTTCCCCTTCCAAAATTTTTTAGAATAATTTTTATAGGATTCGCTTAGTAATAATGGAATAGCAGCATAATGAATGTCAAACATTTTACTATGTGTTTTACTTATAACCAAAATATTAACAATATTTAAACTTATATACATGACAACGAGTAACAGTACCAAAAAGTATCTAAAAACCAATAACACAATGAAACATACCTTCTGAAAGCATAAAATGCTTATTTAAAGAATTAAACTGGTTTGGAAAGTCTTTCCAATAGTGATCCAAAAATTTATATTGTCTAAGCTCCCTAAAAAAATATTGAATTTCAGAGAAAAATTAACAACCACATGGCATAGTTAGGCAAGAAGTTTAAATGGTAAATCTCACACAATCCAATAAAAAAATGATTTAAAATACTTATATGAAAATAAATTTATATGAAATTAAATAAAAATAATTTATATGAAAATTAATGCCAATTCTTTTTATTTGCAAAATAAGAAAATGAATATTTTAAATGTATTTTAAACATGCAGCTTAGAATTCTAGAAATTCAAGTTTCTCACTTAAGCATATTGTTTCACTTACTGATAAATCTGAATTTGAAGCACCAAAAATTTCTAAAAAAATTTCAAATTCTTGAAGCCATAGTTAAATGAGTAATTATGTGATAAACATAAAAAGAGAATTTTCCTGCATTTTACACATAGGCCATATTTTAATCACATAATTTCAGTATAGTACAAAATCATCAAATTTCAAAATACAGTAAGACCCCGCTTAACGCTGTTTCGTTTAGCGCTGTTTCGGTTTAGCGCTCTTTTACTTCAACCCGGGGATTCCACAAAATCGCTCGCAGCATACGGGGATTCCCTGAAATATTATGCAGCGATAGGTTTCAAATACATATCCAAAAGAGTGTACTTGTATTTCTTGTTTGGTGCGGTATTGTACAAACATATTTTGAAGGGGTAAATGTGGAAGATGTCGAAGAAATGAAATAATTCAAGAAGCAGTGGCTAGTCTTTCTAATGATGAGCTCAAGGAATTAACTGAACAAGAAGAAAACAAAAATGTTGACAGCAGTGATTCAGAAGAAGAGCAAAAAGAACTTTCGATGGCGTTTGTAAAAAGGAGTTTGTCTACCATAACTGAAATAATGGATCAATTCATTGAAAATGATCCGAATTTTGACAGGAGCTCAAAAGTAAGGCGTAGTGTTAGAGGTGCTCTATCCGTTTATGAAGAACTTTTAAGAGAACAACGCAAAAGAAAAAGGCAAACAACATTAGATGCTTTTGTCGCAAAAAGGCAGAACACTGAAAACGCGGAAGGCTAACTAAATATGACTGACTTAGAATTTTATTTGTTTTTTTTTAAGAATATTCGTTTTGTTATTTATATTTTGTTTTTATTTTTGCAAGAAATAATAATGTGGTATTAATTTGGGCTTTAAGAAATAAATGTTTGGTTTTATTTTTATTAAAAAAACATACTTTTTAAATTTAATACCTAACCAATTTCCTAGCCATCTTCCCCTAATGCCAATATTTACATGTAAAGATAGCCTCGTTTAGCGCTGTTTCGCATTACGCTCTACTTTGATGGAACGTATCCCCCGCGTTAAGCGGGGTCTTACTGTATATCAAAAAACTTATTGCTTATGACATTACCTATTTGACTAAAAATGTTTTTAATTAAACATGGAAGAGTTGTATTTCAAAACAGGTAGTCCTAATGATTTAAAATGGAAATCTAATTTGAATTTGACAGGAAGAGATAGTTTTTTATTTCTAGTTAAAGAAAAAATGAGAAACTCATACAAAGTTCACAGAATAAGTTTCTCCACAGAAAAGTAGTATCAAGAATCTACTGAGAAAGGCATTTATTTATAAATTAAGAAATTTCTATTCCTAACACAGGTGTAAGAAAATTTTATGAGAATCATATTTAATTGCATACAGAACTAGTCAGCATTTTAAATTTAGAATAAGCATGAAAAAGCTGAAGTTCTGAGCTCAAAGATTAAGAAATGCACATATTAAACTGTCATAGATAATGAATGAACTAAGCACTATCAATCCAGTTCTCATACATACTTGAAATCTCATGAAAACTGAAACTGATTAAGAAGACACTTCAGATGATAAAAGATGACTTCCTGCTAAAATTCTTAAGATACAATATTTAAAAGATTAACATTACTTCTTTATTTCATTACGATTAAAAAAAAAAACTGTCTTAACATCAAATATAAAAGATAATATCAACCACATTTATACAAAACTGCTTTCTTCTTCTTCCTCCCTGCCCCAATATATTTAATTATCAATTCAATACTTGCCAATTTTTTTTTTTTTTTTGGTACTAGTTTTTAACTTTAAAATTAGTATCACGACAAATGCTCTTTGTTTTAAGTAGAAGTATTTTAATTCATTTTCAATAAAAAATAAAGACATTTCAAGGGTGATATATTTATTAATTACTAATTAATTATTATTTTGATCTACTTGAGTTTGAACTAAATCTGTGTTTGATCATGAATTCAGAAAAATGGCTTCAGATTTATTCAGTCATGTTTATTCCCTTTAAAAAGAACTTCATTGAACTTGTATTTGATTTTTTAATAATTTATTTTGACTTTATAATCTTATAAATTTTATTTTAATATTTTCCTTGCTTTTTGTTCAATTTAAAAAATTAAAATTAACAAATATATTTATGAATTAATTCACTTTCTGTTGCATTAAAAAAATTGAGTTTTTTTAAAAAGAATTTTTTTTTAAATTTTTATATACACATATTATACATACATATATATATATATAAAACGGACATGTGTCTTTCTATATATATTTGTATACAAACACATTATTCAGTATTTATGATCTAAGCACTGACAATAAAAATATGGCCAGAAAAAAATATTAAATATATGCTTAAAAATGAAGCTATACCTTGCTAATTCTGAAAGGAAGCTGCACATTTGAGACAGGTCATTCCAAAGTGTGATATCTAATTTACAGTCCTGAAAAAAATTTCAATCAAAAATATTTTTACTAATATTTGAAATAGGGAAGATGGGCTTGAAGCCTACAAAATAAATAAAATTTTCTCTCCCCATAAAATATTAATATCCCACTAGAAAATATGCACTTTTAATCAATATTTCTATTCAATAATGCTAATGGATTTATATATGATTGCAAAACACATTACTGTAGTAAATGAAATGTTTAAAATATTAACCTCTAGTACATAAATCATTTCTTTCAGTCAATCACTTTTTAAATACTGAAAATTAAAATTTAGAATAATTTTAATTTCTTTGTTTCTCAATGAAATACTGTTGTGGCGAAATTAGAAAAATGTAATCCACTTACATTTTAACAGAACAATCTACTATTAATATTTTGCATTGTATTCCTTAACATATAACCGGTTTATGTGAATTTAAAATGACACAAGTTATCTACACATATTTATAACTTGAAAAGTAAGCACTCTAAAAGCGCATGTTTCAGTAAAGTGCATGTAAATATCAATTAACAAATATAACAAAATCACATCTCAAATAATAGTTCATAATTTTTATTCATAAAATCAGAGTGAAAGCTTAGACATCTTAAATATTGTTGGGCAAGTGCTTTATTATCATAAAAACAAATTCTTAAACGAAAAATAACAAATTTTAGAATAACATAAAAATTTTAACATATTTATCATCCACAAAATTCTGGCAGAATAGAAAAACAATGAATCTGAAATACTTGACAAATTTGCTTTAATTTTCAAATTTTGAAACACTTGACAGCTTGACAAAATTATTTAAATTTCAAGCTAATGTATGCAATTCCAGCTGCCAACCCTGAAAGATTATGAGCTTTATCAATAGAAATAGAGTATGAAATTTGTATTTAAAGTGGTACAAGTACCAACTTCAAACACTGAAAATTATAAGATATATGTAGGGAATATACCAAAACTCAAGAGGAGACCAAATTATTGGTGCTCATGTGGCTAGTATATCTGCTACTAAGATAGAAGGCCTTTTTGATGTATCGAAGCACCCAGAAAAATATGCATTAAAAAAAAAAAAAAAAAAAAAAAAAACTTTATCAGTATTTGCTAATTTAATAATAATATGAAAAAGTTCTTAGAAAATTAAAAGATTTAAAATCAAAAAATATTTTTAAAATGGCCAATTAAATTATGGCAAAACTTAATATTCTTCCAAACTCAGTATTTCTACAAAAAACTACTTTTCAGGAGCTTCACAGTATTAATATTCACTATCATAGGTTTAATACCGATGGCAGCTATAGCAAAGCTGTTGATAACTATGCCCATCATATGAATTAGTTTTAATCATTCAGAATGGCAAAGCTTAGATAATGAGCAATGTAAAATATGAATTGTTTAATTTGGTAGCTATTTATATTACCTTTTAGATTTTTAGAAGAGTTTCAGAGCCACATGATCCAGATCATGCCCAGAACAAAATATGAATGTAGCTTGGTGGCAATTTGGGCCACTGCATTTCAGTAATCTCTTAGTATACAAATATTATTTGACAACCGCATCACTATCAAGGATTACCAATTACCAAGTCCTCCCAATTGTTCAAACTTTGTATCCTGAAGTACATTGAACATTTCATGTATCAGGATGACAATGCACCATCTCATCTGCAAAACTGATAATAGAAAAGTTTGAAAAGCATGAAAGTGAGCTTGAACATATTCCAAATCCTGAGAAGTCTCTGATCTCAACACCACTGCAATTTTTTTAGCAATAGTACACTACAGCACAGATTTAGAAAATGTTTATCTCCTTTGTCATCATGAAATGCAATACTCACTGTTTTACATAGCTGAAAACCCCTTCAATGATTGAACAATATTTTAATTCCAAGAAAAACTGTGCTAGTATTGCCCTCTCAAAAAAGGTTTATCTTCTAATAATTACACTTTAGATTCAAATGCTTTAGTTACATTGTTCAATCAATATACAGACATCCCTCGGTTATCATGGCTAATAGGGACCAGACCGGCCGTGATAAGTGAAAAACTGCGAAGTAGTATCCCCTTTCATTTTTAACATATGTACACTGCTCAAAAAAAAAAAAATGGGACAGTGCTATATCTCCCGTTCTACTGGGCCGATTGACAAAATTCAACCTGCGTTTTTCATGTCTCGAAAGCGCGACTTAGGATATATGTTAGGTTTATATATAGCACTATTCTAACATAGGTATTTTGACAAAAAATCAGACTTTTTCTGAAATAACATACCATTTTTTTTTCCATATTTCGATTCTATGACTCAAATTATGCCAGAATACCAAGTTTTGTAAAAATCGTACGAGTAGTTTTTAAAATATTAGCTCTCAACAAAATTTTAGCTCCTCAATGTTAATTGAATTTGGCAATATTTATTAATATCTCTTTTTTTATTAAACTTTTTTTGATTTTTTCTCTCACATTTCGAAATTTAGGTTCATTCCAATAAAATTTACCCATTTTTGTGTTTTATTTTTAAAATTTCTATTTTAAAATAATTTTTATAAATTTTTCGAAAAAAATTTTGAATTATAACCTATAAAATTTTTACCATCATCTTAAAGTAGGTGTATTTTTAAGCATATCTGCAAAAAATTAGACTTTTTTTATTCAAATTTTCTAAGATAACGAATTTACATATTTTTTTCGCGTTTTGAATTTGGCAGCTTTTTTGAGCGATAATAACGCCAAATGTGGTCTATGGATTTTTGTTACACTGAATTGCCACAGCTATTTTTAACCTTGAATTTCAAGTAAAATTTTACGGAGAATTAATTATATGACATTTTTTTCCCTCAGTGATGCGTAATAAATATTCATTAATACTATATTTAAAGCTATTTTTTTAAATTCTATATGATATTATTCAAATTTTTAACTAATTTTTTTAAATTTCTCTATATCTTAAAAAAAAAAAAAAAAAAAAAAAAAGAGTAAATTTTTACCTTCGGCGTTTTTAGCGTCTGCTGCTTTACTTCGTTTAAATCGAATCAATTGTCTAAAAACTGAGAATTTTTGTTTGATGTTTATTTGAATTTTATGACAGTAACTGCATAATTTATATCTAAAAACAACTGTTGCTTTTGAAGTGGCTGAAAGAGCGGCTGATATATATTTTTAAGCACAGTACATTTTTATAGAAATAAGATTTAGAATAATCATTTTTATAAAAGTCAAATTATGATATAAACATACAACCCTCTAGAGACTGAATTAATGGAAGTTCGGTGGTTGTGTAGAAATGATCTGCAGCTACTTAATGGCTGGATAGTCAGCAGATTCTGTGGACAAGTAAGAATAATTATATAACGACACCCAACATTCTGGATTCAATTAACAACGAGGATACGATTTTATTAAATGAATTCAAGAAGTTTTAAAACATAAAAAATCAACTCATTTTTTTATCTTAAAATGTATTTTTGTGCGTAGCGTATTTTCATTATATTCTTAAAATTCTAATTTAGAATGTAATTGTCAAGAACTGAATCCTAATCATTAGTATATATAAGTAATTATTACGGTTATTAATAAATCCTTCTTATAAATTGCAAATATTGCACACGATATTATTTATTTACACTTCAATTCTAACCGTCAGCTCTAGTAGAAGTTACAAATCAATTACATTTAATTAAGGATTGGATTGGATTGAATTGGATTATTTAATTATCGCAAAGCACACGAGGGTTATCTGCCTAAAGGGAGGGATTCCTTCGTAGAGGACTTTCTAAGGGAAACTGGCTCGTATACACGTTACACATGGGGAAAACCCCGAAAACGCCCATGCAGCCAGCCCATTCGCGGGATTCGAACCTCGGACCGAACTACCAGTGTTCAGCGTCCTTACCGCTCGGCCGCTGGTGAGCTATTTAATTAAGGAACGACCATCTAAATTTAAAAACAGCGTACTGTAGCAGGAATTCAATTATTGGCGCTGCATCTTTCATGTTACTCCCGATTGGCAAGCTACATGATTTTTAATGAGTATTTGGGTTTTGCTAGTAACTTCACTTAGAAATCGTGCTTAAACTAGGTTAGTTGGTTATTTGAACATAGAAAGAACATGGGAGCTATTTGATTAAGATGCTTTCATAGAGAACCTTTGTAAAGAGAACCTAGAAAACTATGAAAACCAACCATGCAGCCTGGGTTAGACTTCACAACAAACAATTAGTATTTAACAATCTTCAAATGCTAGGCAACTGGTAAGGCTCCAATTTAATATTTTATTTCTAAATATTTAAAATATTGTTGTATTGTTAAACACAAAAAGCAGAATTTAAGTTTTGTTAACTCGTTAGTAAACTACCAAGCCGTAGTGCAAATGAATATTCAATTGCTTTTGCAATAATTGTATTCACTTAATATTCTTGGAATATGAGCTAAAGAAGGAACATTCTCGGAAGATTAAAGAAGTGTTTAAATCCAGTGATATTAGGTTTGTCTTACAAGCTCAGGAATCAAAACGATTCTGCAATTGCCCGAGTAGGTGACTTGTACGTAAATGGCTCTCGTAATGGTTATGGTCTCGTAATGGTACTCGTAAATGGCTATGAATTAAGCAGATGACTTTTAATCTTACGCTTTTCAGTCAGAAAACCGTATTCCAAATGTTTTGTATTGCATGACAATGCATCTTTTCATGATTCAATAACCAATCGGAGAACCGCTTGTGTTCCGAAAATAAGTATGTTGTACTCAATCGTCCTGCATGTTCTTCAAATTTGTCTTCTTGTGATTTTTTTTCTTTCCGCAAAACTAAAGTTGCCTCTCAAAGGAAAGTTTTTTGACATTGAAGGAGACAAAAGGAGTATGACATCTACTTTTAGAGGCGCATGTCAAAAACAGATCTCTACAAGCCTTCTCTTCCATTACATGTTGTGCAGTCCAGACGAAAAGTTGCATCAGTGTAAATTTTATAATCTATTTTTATTCCACTCTGATTACTTTATTAACATACAGT